TGCAGACACAGCACAAATGTAGACACAGCACACAACAGACACAGCACACAGCAGACACAGCAGACATGCTGACACAGCACACATGCAGACACAACACACATGCAGACACAGCAGACATGCAGACACAGCAGACACAGCAGACACAGCAGGCACAGCACACATGCAGACACAGCACACATGTAGGCACGGCACACATGCAGACACAGCACACAGCAGACACAACACACATGTAGACACAGCAGACACACAGACACAGCAGACATGCAGACACAGCACACATGTAGACACAGCAGACACAGCAGACACAGCAGACATGCAGACACAGCACACATGCAGACACAGCACACATGCAGATACAGCAGACACAGCAGACACAGCAGGCACAGCACACATGCAGACACAGCACACATGTAGACACGGCACACATGCAGACACAGCAGACATGCAGACACAGCAGACATGCAGACACAGCAGACACAGCAGACATGAAAACACAGCACACATGTAGACACAGCACACATGTAGACACAGCATACATGTAGACACAGCACACATGCAGACACTGCAAACATGGAGACACAGCACACATGCAGACACAGCAGACACAGCAGACATGCAGACACCACACACATGCAGACACAGCAGACATGTAGACACAGCAGACACAGCACACATGCAGACACAGCACACATGCAGACACAGCAGGCACAGCAGACACAGCACACATGTAGGCACGGCACACATGCAGACACAGCACACAGCAGACACAACACACATGTAGACACAGCACACAGCAGACACAGCACACATGTAGACACAGCACACATGTAGACACAGCACACATGTAGGCACGGCACACATGCAGACACAGCACACAGCAGGCACAACACACATGTAGACACAGCAGACATGCAGACACAGCAGACATGCAGACACAGCACACATGTAGACACAGCACACAGCAGACACAGCACACATGTAGACACAGCAGACATGCAGACACAGCAGACATGCAGACACAGCACACATGTAGACACAGCAGGCACAGCACACATGCAGACACAGCACACATGTAGGCACGGCACACATGCAGACACAGCACACAGCAGACACAACACACATGTAGACACAGCAGACACACAGACACAGCAGACTTGCAGACACAGAACACATGTAGACACAGCAGACATGCAGACACAGCACACATGTAGACACAGCAGACACAGCAGACATGCAGACACAGCACACATGCAGACACAGCACACATGCAGACACAGCACACAGCAGACACAACACACATGCAGACACAGCACAGAGCAGACACAGCACACATGTAGACACAGCACACATGTAGACACAGCACACATGCAGACACTGCACACATGCAGACACTGCAGACACAGCACACATGCAGACACAGCAGACACAGCATACATGCAGACAGCACAAATGCAGACACAGCAGACACAGCATACATGCAGACAGCACAAATGCAGACACAGCAGACACAACATACATGCAGACACAGCAAACACAGCACACATGCAGACACAGCAGATACAGCATACATGCAGACAGCACAAATGCAGACACAGCAGACATAGCATACATGCAGACACAGGAGACACAGCACACATGCAGACACAGCAGACACAGCACACATGCAGACACAGCACACATGTTTACACAGCACACAGCAGACACAACACATGCAGACACAGCACACCGCAGACACAGCACACATGCAGACACTGCAGACAGAGCACACATGCAGACACAGCAGACACAGCAGACACAGCAGGCACAGCACACATGCAGACACAGCACAAATGTAGACACAGCACACAACAGACACAGCACACAGCAGACACAGCAGACATGCTGACACAGCACACATGCAGACACAACACACATGCAGACACAGCAGACATGCAGACACAGCAGACACAGCAGACACAGCAGGCACAGCACACATGCAGACACAGCACACATGTAGGCACGGCACACATGCAGACACAGCACACAGCAGACACAACACACATGTAGACACAGCAGACACACAGACACAGCAGACATGCAGACACAGCACACATGTAGACACAGCAGACACAGCAGACACAGCAGACATGCAGACACAGCACACATGCAGACACAGCACACATGCAGACACAGCAGAAACAGCAGACACAGCAGGCACAGCACACATGCAGACACAGCACACTTGTAGACACGGCACACATGCAGACACAGCAGACATGCAGACACAGCAGACATGCAGACACAGCAGACACAGCAGACATGAAAACACAGCACACATGTAGACACAGCACACATGTAGACACAGCACACATGTAGACACAGCACACATGCAGACACTGCAGACACAGCATACATGCAGAAAGCACAAATGCAGACACAGCATACATGCAGACACAGCAGACACAGCACACATGCAGACACAGCTGACACAGCACACATGCAGACACAGCAGACACAGCACACATGCAGACACAGCACACATGCAGACACAGCACACAGCAGACATGCAGACGCAGCACACATGCAGACACAGCACACATGCAGACACAGCACACATGCAGACACAACACACATGTAGACACAGCACACAGGCAGACACAGCACACAGCAGACACAACACACATGCTGACACAGCGCACATGCAGACACAGCAGACACAGCAGACACAGCACACATGCAGACACAGCAAACACAGCACACATGCAGACAGCACACATGCAGACACAGCAGACACAGCCCACATGCAGACACAGCACCCATGCAGACACAGCACACATGCAGATACAGCACACATGTAGACACAGCAGACACAGCGGACATGCAGACACAGCACACATGCAGACACAACACACATGCAGACACAGCACACAGGCAGACACAGCACACATGCAGACACAACACACATGTAGACACAGCACACAGCAGACACAGCACACATGCAGACACAGCAGACACAGCACACATGCAGACACAGCACACATGTAGACACAGCACACAGCTGACACAGCACACATGCAGACACAGCAGACACAGCACACATGCAGACACAGCACACATGCAGATACAGCAGACATGCAGACACAGCACACAGGCAGACACTGCAGACACAGCGGACATGCAGACACAGCACACATGCAGACACAGCACACAGGCAGACACAGCACACATGCAGACACAGCACACATGCAGACACAGCACACAGCAGACACAGCAGACACAGCACACATGCAGACACAGCACACAGCAGACACAGCACACATGCAGACACAGCAGACCCAGCACACATGCAGACACAGCATACAGGCAGACACAGCACACAGGCAGACACAGCATACAGGCAGACACAGCACACAGGCAGACACATCACACGTAGACACAGCACACATGCAGACACAGCAGACACATCACACATGTAGACACTGCACTCATGCAGACACAGCACACATGCAGACACAGCACACAGGCAGACACAGCACACAGGCAGACACAGTAGACACATCACACAGGCAGACACAGCACACATGCAGACATTTATATCGGACAGGACATAAAAGTCATCAGACAGGCCGACAGAGACAAAAGTGAGACAGGGAGATAGACATCGTAGATGTGCAGATACCGACACACACAGACGTACACACAGACACACACCGACACACACCGACACACACATACACACACAGACGTACACACAGAGACACACAGACGTACACACAGACACACACAGACGTACACACAGACACACACAGACGTACACACAGACACACCGACAAACTAGCAGACACACTCAGTCGTACACACAAACACACACAGACGTACACACAGACACACCGACAAACGAGCAGACACACACAGACGTACACACAGACGCACACGTCCAGAGAAATATACACACAGACACACAGATATACACACAGACATACACAGATATACACACACACGCACACGTACAGAGAAACATACACACAGACACACAGATATACACACAGACATACACAGATATACACACACACACGCACACGTACAGAGAAACATACACACAGACACAGACAATCACAGGGACACACTCTCACGCGCGCATACAATTACAGGCACAAAGACAAAGATCCCCCGAAAAGCATTAACAAACTGTAGGGGCAAGTGCTGTTAGCGAGCATCTATGCAGGCCGGAACGGCACACGAGGGGGTGGGTGGCCAGCACCACGCCCGACCGCCTTTGTCTCCCTAGTGGCGATGTTTACACACCGCACCAGGTACTCATTTGAGGCTGAGTCGACCTAGGGGAGGCCCAGGACCGGTTCAGATAATTGTCACCGGTGTTGGCATACGTACACACACCTACGTACCCAGACCCACACGTTCACACACACGTAAACACATAAATAACAACAACCCCCATTCGCCACTAAATGGAGGTGATGTCACTACGATTCTTGTGCCAGGCTATGTGCACCTTGAGGCCACGTGAAGTGTCGAACGCTCGCTGGCAGGGGGTCACGGAGCAGACCCAGGTGCCACGGGTCGACTGACTGAGATGACCGAGATGACTGGCTGATGCACCACCTGTGCCCCCTACTGTGCCAACGTGTTGTGCTTTAGCCACCCGGCGCTCCGCTCATTGTTGTGAGCGTCGCTTCTCTGCCCTCCCGTGTTGTTGGAGGGCGACTGCTTCCAACTGCCCAGTAGCATCCTTCACGAGCCTCCTCCACAGAGGCCGATCTTGACACCGCTGGTACCAGTCATCGGCAAGTCCACTCAGCTCCACATCCTCCTGTACCACATCACTCCATCTCTTCTCTAGATCGTGCCACGCCCGTTTAGCCCCCTCTATCCGACCGAACAAAAGCTGTTTCGGCATGCGGTGGCTGGGCATGCGGGCTACACACACACACGTACACACACATAGGTATACACACAGGTAGGTGCGCGGTGCCATGAGTGGGGGGGGGGGGGGGACTGCCCGGGACCGCAATGTGATTCCTCCTCTTTGTCGCCCACACAGCAGCCACAGCGGCCGGGATTTCGTGGGGATCGCGAGAACCACGAGGACCACACACATCAACACACCACCACTACCAACCACCTGGCGAAGCTCGTGGAGCCATAGCGAGGCTCGTGGAGCCATAGCGAGGCTCGGGGTGGAGGAGGGGGGGGGGTCATGGTGTTCTTCTCGGGCTCGCTGCGTGTCCGCGTGCGCGGGGCTGTGGCGCTGAGGCCGACTCCGTGGTCCCAGCGGCTCTCGCTGAGCCCCCGCGCCCAGGGCACGACGCTCCTCGACCCCTACGTGGCGGTCAACGTGGACGAGACGCGGATCGGGCAGACGCAGACGCGCAGCCGCAGCAACGACCCGCGGTGGGACGAGGAGTTCTGGACGGAGGTGAGCACGGTCCAGGCAGCAGCAGCAGCAGCAGCGTTGTCATCATCATCGTCAACATCATCATCAACGTCATAATCAAGTATCATCATCATCAGCATCATCATCCCCATCATCAGCATCACCATCATCCGCATCGTCAACAACATCATCTCCCGCTTCAATAGTAATCATGATCCGCATCGTCATCAACATCCACATTATCAACATCATCCACATCATCATCATCCGCATCATCACCATCATCAACATCCGCATCATCATCATCAACATCATCATCACCATCATCAACATCATCATCACCATCATCAACATCATCATCCGCATCATCATAAATATCATCCAAATCATCATCTGCAGAGTCAACATCATCCGAATCATTATTCGCATCATCCTCAACATCATCCACATCGGCATCGTCGGCGCTTCTTGCCATCAAGAAGTCGCGAATCCTCGGGCTTGATTTCTCTCTCTGAACCGTGACGGTTGTTCGGCACACGGCCCGATGGCCCCAAACACGCGAGGCGGCCAGCCACAAACAGCCACTCGCGCGAACGTTGCAACGGACTGGAGTGACGGTCACGAGTCTAGGATGGAGCGACGTGATTGTCGTTGATTGAGATTTGGGAGGGGCGGGATGGAGAGGATCTTCGTCTTCGTCTCATCGCAGCCAAGGCTGACGTAGAGACAACAACAACAACAACTTGCAATGACGCATTTAGGCGGTCAAGCCGGCAGATAAGACGAACACTGCACGTAGATTGTGGCTGTTGCTCTGCATCTACATCAGCCGTAAGTCCATCTATGTGCAGTAATTGTCTATGTGCAGTGTTAGTCAATGGGCAATGTTAGTTTATGGGCAATGTTAGTCTATGTGCAGTGTTTGTCCAGTGTTTGTCTGTGCAATGTTAGTCTATGGGCAATGTTAGTCTATGGGCAATGTTAGTCTATAGGCAATGTTAGTCTATAGGCAATGTTAGTCTATGTGCAGTGTTTGTGCAGTGTTTGTCTGTGCAATGTTAGTCAATGGGCAATGTTAGTCTATGGGCAATGTTAGTTTATGGGCAATGTTAGTCTATAGGCAATGTTAGTCTATGTGCAGTGTTTGTGCAGTGTTTGTCTGTGCAATGTTAGTCTATGGGCAATGTTAGTCTATGGGCAATGTTAGTTTATGGGCAATGTTAGTCTATAGGCAATGTTAGTCTATGTGCAGTGTTTGTGCAGTGTTTGTCTGTGCAATGTTAGTCTATGGGCAATGTTAGTCTATGGGCAATGTTAGTCTATGTGCAGTGTTTGTGCAGTAATTGTCTATGTGCAGTGTTAGTCTATGTGCAATTGTAGTCTATGGGCAATGTTAATCTATGGGCAATGTTAGTCTATGGGCAATGTTAGTCTTTGTGCAGTGTTTGTCTATGGTGCAATGTTAGTCTATGTGCAATGTTAGTCTATAGGAAATGCAAGTCTATGTGCAGTGTTTGTCTGTGCAGTAATTGTCTATGTGCAATGTTAGTCTATGGGCAATGTTAGTCTATAGGCAATGTTAGTCTATGGGCAATGTTAGTCTATAGGCAATGTTAGTCTATGTGCAGTGTTTGTCTATGTGCAGTAATTGTCTATGTACAATGTTAGTCTATAGGCAATGTTAGTCTATGTGCAGTGTTTGTCTGTGCAGTAATTGTCTATGTTCAATGATAGTCTATGGGCAATGTTAGTATATGGGCAATGTTAGTCTATAGGCAATGTTAGTCTATGTGCAGTGTTAGTCTATGTGCAGTAATTGTCTATGAGCAATGTTAGTCTATGGGCAATGCAAGTCTCTGTGCAATGTTTGTCTATGGGCAATGCTAGTCTATGTGCAGTGTTTGTCTGTGCAGTAATTGTCTATGTGCAATGTTAATCTATGTGCAATGTTAGTCTATGGGCAATGTTAGTCTATAGGCAATGCTAGTCTATGTGCAGTGTTAGTCTATGAGCAACGTTAGTTTATGGGCAATATTAGTCTATGGACAATGCCCCGATCCACAAATACAACGAAGGAGACATCATCACAGCGATGATACAACGCTACTCCGCTACTCCTCCTGCTGACGTTACATTGTGGTTGTTTTTGTTGTTGTCTCTGCATCTACATCAGCAGCCATACGGAAGTAGCGGCAGCAGCAGCTACAGCAACCTTCGGTGGGCACGGGCACTGTTTAATGCAGCTCCCCGATATTTATTGTTGCGGAGGCTCACGGTTCGAATCCTAGCGGCCGCCCTGTATAAGGTCGCTCCGGTGGCTAAGAGACGTCATCTCCCTCGCCAGGTATACACGAGGTCGTGGGTTCGATCCCGACCCCCGCGATGCTGGCTGCATATTTGAAGTTTGCGTGTTCTCACGCTCCGCGTGGCCACGTGGATCTTTCTCCTGTTCCTCCTCCAGTTATTCCCCTCCACATTAAGAATCAACGTCACACGTACAGGGGATGATGATGATGATGATCAGCCCACTTCGTGTGTCTGTGTATGTCTCTGTGTGTGTCTGTGTCTCTGTGTGTGTGTCTTTGTGTGTGTGTCTATGTGTGTGTCTCTGTGTGTGGCCGGGAGTCAGAGCCATTCCCTGTACACCTTGGGGTGCGACAGGGATGTCCTCTGGCTCCCACATTATTTAACAGCTATTTTGACCACGTAGTTCGTGAAGCCTTCAATAGCTGTACCGGGGGAATCTCCATATGGTACAGATATAATGGGAGACTGATCGATGCCCGGGTGCGGTCAAGGGATGGCTCCCTATTGCTCAACCAAATTATGTATGCTGATGATTTGGTAATTGCTGCTCATTCAGAGGAGTTGGAGACGCTGCTGCTGAGACTGGAGCGTGCCACTAAGAGGTGGGGCCTTACCATCAGCCCCACCAAAACTAAGCACTTGCCTGGGTATTTTGTACCATCGGACACTCCACCCCCACAACTCTCAATCGGTGATGGGGCAGTTATGGAGAGAGTGGAGAGTTTCCCATACCTGGGCAGTGTACTTATGACCGGCTCCAGTTTAACAGCAGAGGTCTCACTCCGAATCTGTCGAGCGGCAATATTTTTTCATCGGTTGCGTAACGCTGTGTGGAAGCTACCTGGTCTGTCGCTCCGCACTAAGCTTCAGGTCTTCTCGGCCACGGTCATTCCCTCCCTTCTCTACGCTTGCGAAACGTGGACCCCCTAATGGAACATCTTCGCCGGCTAGAAACATTTAGGCTGGCCTGCCTACGATCCATCCTGGGTTTAACCAGACTAGATTGTGTGAGGAGCTCACAAATCCTTGAAAGATCTGGGCAAGGTCCCATCGGTGAGCTCCTCCGGCGGGCAAGGCTGCGATGGCTGGGTCATGTAGCCCGCACGCCCAGCCACCGCATGCCGAAACAGCTTTTGTTCGGCCAGATTGAGGGGGCTAAACGGGCGCGGCTCGGGCTAGAGAAGAGATGGAGTGATGTGGTACAGGAGGACGTGGAGCTGAGTGGACTTGCCGATGACTAGTACCAGCGGTGTCAAGATCGGCCTCTGTGGAGGAGGCTCGTGAAGGACGCTACTGGGCAGTTGGAGGTAGTCGCCCTCCAACAGCAACGGAGGGCGGAGGAGCGACGCTCACAACAACGAGCGGAGCGCCGGGTGGCTGGAGCACAGCGGGTTGGCACAGTAGGGGGCACAGGTGGTGCATCAGCCAGTCATCTCAGTCAGTCGACCCGTGGCACCTGGGTCTGCCCCGTGACCTCCTGCCAGCGGGCGTTCCACACTTCACGTGGCCTCAGGGTGCACATAGCCTGGCACAAGCGTCGTGGTGACGTCACCACCACTTAGTGGAGAATGGCGGTTGTTGGTTGTTGTTGTTGTGTCTCTGTGTGTGTCTCTGTGTGTCTGTGTGTGTGTCTGTGTGTATGTGTGTGTCTTTGTGTGTGTGCCTGTGTGTGTCTCTCTGTGTGTGTGTCTCTGTGTGTGTGTCTGTGTGTGTGTGTGTCTGTGTCTCGGTGTGTGTGTCTTTGTGTGTGTGTCTGTGTCTCTGTGTCTGTGTGTGTGTCTGTGTGTGTCTGTGTCTCTGTGTGTGTCTTTGTGTGTGTGTCTATGTGTGTGTGTCTCTGTGTGTGTGTCTCTGTGTGTGTGTCTTTGTGTGTGTGTCTGTGTGTGTGTCAGTGTGTGTCTGTGGCTCTGTGTGTGTCTGTGTGTGTGTGTGTGTCTGTGTGTGTGTGTGTCTGTGTGTCTGTGTGTGTCTGTGTCTCTGTGTGTGTCTCTGTGTGTGTGTCTGTGTGTGTATGTGTGTGTATGTGTGTGTGTCTGTGCGTGTGTCTGTGTGTGTGTGTCTGTGTGTGTCTGTGTCTCTGTGTGTGTGTCTGTGTGTGTGTGTCTATGTGTGTGTGTCTCTGTGTGTGTGTCTGTGTGTGTGCCTGTGTGTGTCTGTCTCTGTGTGTGTGTCTGTGTGTGTGTATGTGTGTGTCTGTGTGTGTGTGTCTGTGTCTCTGTGTGTGTGTATATGTGTGTCTCTGTGTGTGTGTGTGTCTGTGTGTGTCTGTGTCTCTGTGTGTGTGTCTGTGTGTGTCTGTGTCTGTGTGTGTGTGTCAGTGTGTGTGTGTGTGTCTAGTGGGGAGCGGTAGTGTAGTGGTTAGCTTGCTGCATTACGAAACCCGCGACCCTGGTTCGATTCCCGCTCATGGCTACCAACACCAGTGACGATTATCTGAACGGGTCCTGAGACTCAAATGAGTACCTGGTGCGGTGTAAACATCGCCACTAGGGGACAAAGGCGGCCGGGCGTGGTGCTGGCCACCCACCCACCCCCTCACAGCACTTGCCCCAACAGTCTGCTAACGCTATACGGGGGATCTTTGTCTTTTCGTGTGGAGGTGCACAACGGACGCTGCATCCAGCTGGCCGTATTCCACGACACTCCGCTGGGCTACGACGACTTCGTTGCCGACTGCACACTCAGCTTCGATGAGCTCCTGCAGCGCGGGGACACCCACTTCGAGCAATGGGTGGGCGGCATTGGTGGCGGTGATGATGGTGGAGGTGGTGATGGTGGAGGTGATGGTGGTGGAGGTGGTGATGGTGGAGGTGATGGTGGTGGAGGTGGTGATGGTGGTGTTGGAGGTGATGGTGGCGGTGATGATGGTGGAGGTGGTGGAGGTGGTGATGGTGGCGGTGATGATGGTGGAGGTGGTGATGGTGGAGGTGGTGATGGTGGAGGTGATGGTGGTGGAGGTGGTGATGGTGGAGGTGATGGTGGTGGAGGTGGTGATGGTGGTGTTGGAGGTGATGGTGGCGGTGATGATGGTGGAGGTGGTGGAGATGGTGATGGTGGCGGTGATGATGGTGGAGGTGGTGATGGTGGGGGTGATGGTGGTGGAGGTGGTGGAGGTGGTGATGGTGGAGGTGGTGGAGGTGGTGATGGTGGAGGTGGTGATGGTGGAGGTGATGGTGGTGGTGGAGGTGGTGGAGGTGGTGGAGGTGATGGTGGTGGTGGAGGTGGTGGAGGTGGTGATGGTGGAGGTGGTGATGGTGGAGGTGGTGATGGTGGAGCTGATGGTGGAGGTGGTGGTGGAGGTGGTGATGGTGGAGTTGGTGATGGTGGAAGTGATGGTGGAGGTGATGATGGAGGTGGTGGTAGAGGTGGTGGTGATGGTGGTGGTGATGTTGGTGGAGGTGGTGGAGGTGGTGGTGGAAATAGTGGAGGTGGTGATGGTGGTGGAGGTGGTGGAGGTGATGATGGTGGTGTTGTCGGTAGTGGAGGTGGTGATGGTGGTGGAGGTGATGATGGTGGTGGTGAAGGTCGTGATGGTGGTGGCAGTGGAGGTGGTGGAGGCGGTGGTTGGAGGTGATGGTGGTGGAGGTGGTGATGGTGGAAGTGATGGTGGGGGTGGTGATGGTGGTGGTGATAGAGGTGGTGGTGGAGGTGGTGGAGGTGGTGATGGTGGAGGTGGTGATGGTGGTGGAGGTGGTGGTGATGGTGGTGAATAGAGGTGGTGGTGATAGAGGTGATGGAGGTGATGGTGGTGGTGATGGTGGAGGTGGTGGTGGAGGTGAGGATGGTGGAGGTGGTGATGGTGGTGATTGTGGTGGTGGTGGTCATAGCAGAGGTCTTGTTGGAATTCCCTACACCTCTGCTGTAGCAGACGGACAGAAGATATGGCATCTGTGCAGGACCGCCCTTTCGTGAAACCACATTGCGGCTCTGCAAGCCTCTCCTCAGCGTGCCTAGCAAGGCGATGTTGAATAATCCTTGCCAGGACCTTTCCCGGCATCAGTAGGTCTGGGCTCTGGGTTGTTGTGCTTTCGGAGTCCCTGACCCTCCCATCAAGATCATTAAGGACCTTCATGATGGTGAGTGGGCCCGGGTAAAACTTCGTGGCCGGGAGTCGGAGCCATTCCCTGTACATCTTGGGTTGCGACAGGGATATCCTATTCCTCAACCATGTTATATATGCCGATGATCTGGTAATTGCTGCTCACTCAGAGGAGGAGTTGGAGGCGTTGCTGCTGAACCTGGAGCATGCCACAAAGGGGTGGGGCCTTACCATCAGCCCCACCAAAATTAAGCACCTGCCTGGGTATTTTGTACCATCAGACACTCCACCCCCACAACTCCAAATTGGTGATAGGGCAGTTTCGATTGAAAGCTTTCGTGACTGCAAGGATTCATCTTCTTTGGTTCTTTCGGTAAAGTCACGTAGAATGAGAATAAAATAATAAATTGATAAAATAAAATAACACAATAATATTCTCACGACGTTTCGGCCACAACACAAGCGGCCTTCATCAGGTGAAGGGACGAGACTGTCTGGTAGGACAGCGCTAGGACAGCGCTGTCCTGGACAGCGCTGTCCTACCAGACAGTCTCGTCCCTGGACAGCGCTGTCCTACCAGACAGTCTCGTCCCTTCACCTGATGAAGGCCGCTTGCGTTGTGGCCGAAACGTCGTGAGAATATTATTGTGTTATTTTATTTTATCAATTTATTATTTTATTCTCATTCTACGTGACTTTACCGAAAGAACCAAAGAAGATAGGGCAGTTGTGGAGAGAGTGGAGAGTTTCCCATACCTGGGCAGTGTGCTCATGACCGGCTCCGGTTTTACAGCAGAGGTCTCACTCCGAATCAATCGAGCGGCATTATCTTTTCATCGGTTGCGTAACGCAGTGTGGAAGCTACCTGGTCTGTCGCTCCGCATGAAGCTTCAGGTCTTCTCAGCCACAGTCATTCCCTCCCTTCTCTACGCTTGCAAAACGTGTACCCCCCTAATGGAACATCTTCGCCGGTTAGAAACACTTAGGCTGGCCTGCCTACCATCCATCCTGGGTTTAACCAGGCTGGATTGTGTGAGGAGCTCGTAAATCTTTGAAAGATCTGGGCAAGGTCCCATCGGTGAGCTCCTCCGGCGGGGAAGGCTGTATTGGCTGGGCCATGGAGCCCGCATGCCCAGCCACCGCATGCCTAAACAGCTTTTGTTTGGCTGGATAGAAGGGACTAAACGGGCACGGCACGGACTAGAGAAGAGATGGAGGGATGTGGTACAGGAGGACGTGGAGCTGAGTGGACTTGCCAATGACTGGTACCAGCGGTATTAAGATCGGCCTCTGTGGAGGAGGCTCGTGAAGGACGCTACTGGGCAGTTGGAGGTAGTCGCCCTCCAACAATAACGGAGGGCGGAGGAGTGATGCTCATAACGATGAGCGGAGTGCCGGGTGGCTAAAGCATAGTAAGTTGGCACAGTAGGGGGCACAGGTGGTGCATCAGCCAGTCGTCTCAGTCAGTCGACCTGTGCATCTTGGTCTGCCCCGTGACCTCCTGCCAGCGGGCGTTCGACACTTCACGTGGCCTCAAGGTGCACATGGCCTGGCACAAGCGTCGCGGTGACGTCACCACCACTTAGTGGCGAATGGCGGTTGTTGTTGGAGGTGGTGGTCGAGGTGACAGCAGTGATGATGTCGCTATTGATGTTCACAGGAACTCACCAACCCACTCATCACCACATCCTCCCCCTCACTCATTCGCTCACCCAACGTACGCAATCACCACCTCCTTGACCCACTCACTGACTCCCCCCCCCCCCCACAACTCCGCTCCCACCCTCGCCCCTCCCCCCACACCCCCCGCCCAGCTGGATCTGGAACCCGAGGGTCGCGTCTGGGTGGAGATCGACCTGGAGGGCACCGCGAGCCACGAGGAGGCCGGGGGGCCCGGGGGGGCCGGGGCGGCCGCCTTTGTAGCTCCTCCCCCGGCCTCGCCCGGCCTCGTCGAGGGCCGCGCCGTCGCTCTGCCCGGGGCCGGCGGTGGAGGCGGCGGTCTGGGCCTGCCCACGGAGTGCCTCGCCAAGAGTACGCGGGCCTACGGGTGCCACTGTGTGTGCCACTGTGTGTGTGTGCCACTGTGGGTGTGCCACTGTGTGTGTGTGCCACTGTGTGTGTGTGCCACTGTGTGTGTGTGCCACTGTGTGTGTGCCACTGTGTGTGTGCCACTGTGTGTGTGTCACTGTGTGTGTTACTGTGTGTGCCACTGTGGGTGTGTGCCACTGTGTGTGTGCCACTGTGTGTGTGCCACTGTGGGTGTGTGCCACTGTGGGTGTGTGCCACTGTGTGTGTGCCACTGTGTGTGTGCCACTGGGTGTGTGCCACTGTGTGTGTGCCACTGTGTGTGTGTGCCACTGTGGGTGTGCCACTGTGTGTGTGTGCCACTGTGGGTGTGCCACTGTGGGTGTGCCACTGTGTGTGTGCCACTGTGTGTGTGCCACTGTGTGTGTGCCCCTACCTCCTCGCGGTGCCGGACGGGCAACTCTGTCGTGGACAGTGCTGTGGGGGGAGATCCAATTTTGATTGGCCCCTCCCCTCATGGCGCCTGTGTCCACCACAGGGGCTAAACGGGGGCTCTGGACGGGTGCGAGGGGCTGGTAACCCCTCCACCTTCAATTAATTACCACGAAACCACGAGTTAAACTGAAATATGTAACAAATAAGCTTGTGCCGGAGGCCCCGGGGGGCCAGGCGTCTATGACGTCTCCTGGCCAAACCCCAATTGGCGGAGCCAGGAGATTGAATACCTACCCTCAAGGCTACTCCAGAAACAACGAAAAGCCACTACGGGTGGCCACGTGGAATGTTCGAACGCTCACTGCAGAGGAGAGGCTGCCACTCCTCTGTCGGGAGCTGGACCGGTACCGCCTGGATCTATGCGGCATTCAGGAGGTCCGGTGGACAGGCTCTGGCTCCTGCTACCATGAGGGGTGGACAATCCTCTACTCGGGGCAGCAGACTGCCAAACAACAGGGTGTGGCTCTTCTTTTGAACAAAAGAATGAAGGGGGGGGGTGGGAGCGTGGCGGTGAGGTGTGGGAAGCTGTAAGCCCCAGGCTACTTTGGGCTCGCCTTCCCATCAACCGGAGGCGAGGAATGGTAGTCGTGGTTACTTATGCCCCCACCGAAGATGAACATCCGTGGAGGGATGCAGGCACAGCCGATGAGTCAGATGTCTTCTATGACCTCCTGTCACAGGTGCTGGCTAAAGTGGCCCCTCGGGATAGAGTCATCATGTTGGGTGACTTCAATGCCCGAGTTGGTCATGATACTGGCACCTGGTCTGGAGTGATCGGAGGGCATGGGCCAGATTAGCTCAATAACAACGGTAGGAGGCTGCTAGATTTTTTGTGCAGCCCATGGGCTTGTAATTACCAACACGCTGTTCCGGCATCGGCGCATCCACACAACATCATGGATGCATGCCGGGTCCAAGCAAGAACATCTGCTGGACTACATAGTAACGGACCAGCGAATGCGAGCCCATGTCCTTGACACCAGGACCTACCGTGGAGCTGATCTTTCCTCTGACCATCGACTAGTCATCTGTAAGATGTGCCTGCCATTCTTCCACTCCGGTGGTGGGTGTACACTCAGGACCCCATTCCAACATAAAGTGGCCTGGTCTCAGTTATCTGATGAAAGTTGCAAGCAATAATTTCATCATCGCTTGCGGCTGGGATTGGCATCGTCCCCGACTCCTCCTGATGTCGAGGGTAAATGGGCGAGGTTTAGGACTGTGACTCATGCAGCTGCAATGGCTGCTTTGGGTACGCGGTCCAGACCTCCCCAGAGACCCTGGCTGACAGAGGAGGTGTTCAGGATGGTTGAGAAAAAGCGACAGGCCCACTGTCATCGGCTACAGAATCCCACGTCAGAGAATGAGGAGGCTTACCGCAGTCTTCGCTCGGAGGTTCGGAGAGCCGTGAGGCGCTGCAAGGATGGGTGGTGGTCGCGGGTTGCTGAGGAGATGGAGTCTGCCTCAGTGGCCCGTGATCACAAGTCGTTATTTAACTACATCAAAAAAACTAACCTGCAGCGCCACACCTATTACCATCATTAGGGGAAAAAACGGTGATCCAATCTCCGACCACCAGGAACAGGTTCGCAGATTTTCTGAGCATTTCGGTGAGGTCCTGGGGGAGGGAAAATCCCTCAGCCAGGAAAACATCGTGGCACAAAGTGAGGATGACCCTGCTGAGGCTGCGGTGCCTCAAATATTGGAAGAAGTCACCGCCTGTGAGTGGCTGGCTGAGGTGCCATCTGCTGAGGAAGTATTGAAGGCGATCCGGAGTCTGAGACCAGGAAAGGCAGCGGGCAGAGATGATCTCCCAAGCGAAATGCTGAGGGAGGGTGGCGTTTGTGCACAGACTGCCCTATATGACATCATAACAACAGTCTGGACCACTGGACGGGTTCCGCAGGATTGGAAGGTTGCCCTGGTGGTCCCCCTTTTTAAGAAGGGGGACCTTTTTAAGAAGGGGGACCGCACAGACTGTAACAACTACAGGGGCATCTCACTCCTCAGTGTGCCGGGAAAGGTCCTGGCAAGGATTATTCAGCATCGCCTTGCCAGGCACGCTGAGGAGAGGCTTGCGGAGCCCCAATGCGGTTTCAGGAAAGGGCGGTCCTGCACAGATGCCATATTTTCTGTCCGTCTGCTACAGCAGAGGTGTTGGGAATTCCAACAAGACCTACATCTCTGCTTTATTGACCTGGTCAAGGCCTATGATACCATCAGTAGGCCTGGGCTCTGGGTCGTTCTTCATGCTTTTGGAGTACCTGACCCTCTGCTCACGATCATTAAGGACCTTCATGATGGTGAGCGGGCCCGGGTAAAACTACGTGGCCAGGAGTCAGAGCCATTCCCTGTACACCTTGGGGTGCGACAGGGATGTCCTCTGGCTCCCACATTATTTAACATCTATTTTGACCACGTAGTTCGTGAAGCCTTCAATAGCTGTACCGGGGGAATCTCCATATGGTACAGATATAATGGGAGGCTAATCGATGCCCGGGTGCGGTCAAGGGATGGCTCTCTATTGCTCAACCACGTTATGTATGCTGATGATTTGGTAATAGCTGCTCAGTCAGAGGAGGAGTTGGAGATGCTGCTACTGAGACTGGAGCGTGCCACTAAGAGGTGGGGCCTTACCATCAGCCCCACCAAAACTAAGCACCTGCCTGGGTATTTTGTACCATCGGACACTCCACCCCCACAACTCCCAATCGGTGATGGGGCAGTTGTGGAGAGAGTGGAGAGTTTCCCATACCTGGGCAGTGTGCTTATGACTGGCTCCAGTTTAACAGCAGAGGTCTCACTCCGAATCAGTTGAGCGGCAATATCTTTTCATCGGTTGCGTAACGCTGTGTGGAAGCTACCTGGTCTGTCGCTCCGCACTAAGCTTCAGGTCTTCTCGGCCACGGTCATTCCCTCCCTTCTCTACGCTTGCGAAACGTGGACCCCCCTAATGGAACATCTTCGCCGGTTAGAAACATTTAGGCTGGCCTGCCTACGATCCATCCTGGGTTTAACCAGACTGGATTGTGTGAGGAGCTCACAAATCCTTGAAAGATCTGGGCAGGGTCCCATCGGTGAGCTCCTCCGGCAGGCAAGGCTGCGATGGCTGGATCATGTAGCCCGCATGCCCAGCCACCGCATGCCGAAACAGCTTTTGTTTGGCCGGATTGAGGGGGCTAAGCGGGCGCGGCACGGGCTAGAGAAGAGATGGAGTGATGTGGTACAGGAGGACGTGGAGCTGAGTGGACTTGCCGATGACTGGTACCAGCGGTGTCAAGATCGGCCTCTGTGGAGGAGGCTCGTGAAGGATGCTACTGGGCAGTTGGAGGCAGTCGCCCTCCAACAATAACGGAGGACGGAGGAGCGATGCTCAGAACAATGAGCGGAGCGCCGGGTGGCTAAAGCACAGCAGGTTGGCACAGTAGGGGGCACAGGTGGTGCATCAGCCAGTCATCTCAGTCAGTCGACCCGTGGCACCTGGGTCTGCCCCGTGACCTCCTGCCAGCGGGCGTTCGACACTTCACGTGGCCTCAAGGTGCACATGGCCTGGCACAAGCGTCGTGGTGACGTCACCGCCACTTAGTGGCGAATGGCGGTTGTTGTTGTGCCACTGTGTGTGTGCCACTGTGGGTGAGGGTGCCCCCACTGTGTAGCGGTGAGCGCTACGCTGCGCTATGAACCCGGTGACACGAGTTCGATTCCCGCTCACGACCACCAACACCAGTGACGATTATCTGAAACGGTCCTGGGCCTCCCCTAGGTCAACTCAGCCTCAAATGAGTACCTGGTGCGGTGTGTAAACATCGCCACTGGGGAGACAAAGGCGGCGGGGGGCGGCTTTAGCCACTCTCGCGAGGTGCCACTCTCGCTAACAGCAAGCACCTTTCCCCAGTGACGTGTGTGGGCTACATGGGGAACCTTTGCCTGTGTAGAGTCGGAGGAGCTGGGCACCTTCCGCGAGCGGCCGTTCGCGCGCAAGCGGCAGGGCGCCGTGAGGCGGCGCGTCCACCAGGTGAGCGGCCACAAGTTCATGGCCACCTACCTGCGGCAGCCCACCTACTGCTCACACTGCCGGGAGTTCATCTGGTGAGTCGCTCGCTCACTCGCCACACTCATCCACTCACCCGCCACGCTCACACTCGCCACACTCGCCACACTCGCCACACTCATTCACTCACTCGCCACACTCACACTCGCCACACTCACACTCGCCACACTCACACTCACCACACTCACACTCGCCACACTCATCCACTCACCCATCACACTCACACTCGCCACACTCGCCACACTCGCCACACTCACACTCGCCACACTCATCCACTCACTCGCCACACTCACACTCACCACACTCGCCACACTCACACTCACCACACTCACCCGTCACACTCACACTCGCCACACTCATCCACTCACTCGCCACACTCACACTCACCACACTCGCCACACTCACACTCACCACACTCACCCGTCACACTCACACTCGCCACACTCATCCACTCACTCACCACACTCGCCACACTCACACTCGCCACACTCGCCACACTCACACTCGCCACACTCATCCACTCACTCACCACACTCACACTCGCCACACTCATCCACTCACCCGCCACACTCACACTCGCCACACTCATTCACTCACTCGCCACCTTCACCCACTCATTCACTCACTCACCACACTCGCCACACTCGCCACACTCGCCACCATCACAAACCCCATCACCACCTTCACCCACTCATCCACTCACTCGCCACACTCACACTCGCACAACCACACTCACTCACCAGAGTGGGGAGTGGTGGCGCAATGGTTAGCGTCCTCCGCTACGAATCCGGTGACCAGAGTTGGATTCCCGCACACGACCAATACTAATACATAAATAGGTGCTGGGCCTCACCTAGATCGACTCAACCTTAAATGAGTACCTAGTGCGGTGTGTAAACAGCAGTAACTCTGATTAGCCCGGTTGGCTCTGTACGATGCGGTCGAAGTTCAACATTTTTTCACTCACACAACCAATACCAAAACCCGCTATTTGCCACGAAGTGCCCGTGACGTCACAACGGCACATGCTGTGCACTTTGAGGCCACGTGAAGTGTCGAAGGCTCGCTGACAGGAGCTGTTAGGACAGACCCAAGTGCCATGGGTTGCCTAACTGAGATGACTTACAGATGCACCACCTGTATGCCCCACTGAGCCAACTCTCTGCATTCTATCCGCCCGACGCACTGCTCAATGTTGTGAGTGTTACTCCTCTGCCCTCCGTTGTTGCTGGAGAGCAACTGCCACCAAATCCCCAGCAGCGTCCTTCACTAACCTCCTTCACAAAAGCCGATCTTGACACTGCTGGAACAAGTCATCTGCAAGTTCAATCAGCTCCACATCCTCTTGTACTACATGAGTCCATCTCTTATCTAGCCCATACTGAGCCCGTTTAGCCCCCTATATATGGCAGAGCAGAAGCTGCTTGGGAATGCGGTAGCATTAAATAGCTGATAAAAAGATAATGCCGCTCAATTTATTCTGAGTGAGACCTTGGCTGCAAACCGGAGCTGGTCATAAGCACACCGCCCAGGTATGGAAAGCTCTCCACTCTCTCCACAACTGCCCCATCACTCATGGGGAGCTGAGGGAGGGGAGTGTTTGATGGCATAAAATACCCAGGCAGGTGCTTTCTTTTGCGGAGCTGATGGTGAGTCCCCATCTTGGGCATCGATCAGCCTCCCATTGTATCTGTACCGGATGGAACTTCCACCGGTACAGTGAGGGAAAAAAGTATTTGATCCCCTGCTGATTTTGTACGTTTGCCCACTGACAAAGAAATGATCAGTCTATAATTTTAATGGTAGGTTTATTTGAAGAGTGAGAGACAGAATAACAACAATAAATCCATAAAAACGCATGTCAAAAATTGTATAAATTGATTTGCATTTTAATGAGGGAAATAAGTATTTGACCCCCTCTGCAAAACATGACTTAGAACTTGGTGGCAAAACCCTTGTTGGCAATCACAGAGGTCAGACGTTTCTTGTAGTTGGCCACCAGGTTTGCACACATCTCAGGAGGGATTTTGTCCCACTCCTCTTTGCAGATCTTCTCCAAGTCATTAAGGTTTCTAGGCTGACGTTTGGCAACTCGAACCTTCAGCTCCCTCCACAGATTTTCTATGGGATTAAGGTCTGGAGACTGGCTAGGCCACTCCAGGACCTTCATGTGCTTCATCTTGAGCCACTCCTTTGTTGCCTTGGCCGTGTGTTTTGGGTCATTGTCATGCTGGAATTCTTATCCACGACCCATTTTCAATGCCCTGGCTGAGGGAAGGAGGTTCTCACCCAAGATTTGACGGTACATGGCCCCGTCTATCGTCCCTTTGATGCTGTGAAGTTGTCCTGTCCACTTAGCAGAAAAACACCCCCAAAGCATAATGTGTTCTTGGGGTCATAGGCAGCATTCATCCTCCTCCAAACACGGCGAGTTGAGTTGATGCCAAAGAGCTCCATTTTGGTCTCATCTGACCACAACACTTTCACCCAGTTGTCCTCTAAATCATTCAGATGTTCATTGGCAAACTTCAGACGGGCATGTATATGTGCTTTCTTGAGCAGGGGGACCTTGCGGGCGCTGCAGGATTTCAGTCCGTCACGGCGTAGTGTGTTACCAATTGTTTTCTTGGTGACTATGGTCCCAGCTGCCTTGAGATCATTGACAAGATCCTCCCGTGTAGTTCTGGGCTGATTCCTCACCGTTCTCATGATCATTGCAACTCCACGAGGTGAGATCTTGCATGGAGCCCCAGGCCGAGGGAGATTGACAGTTCTTTTGTGTTTTTCCATTTGCGAATTATCGCACCAACTGTTGTCACCTTCTCACCAAGCTGCTTGGCAATGTTCTTATAGCCCATTCCAGCCTTGTGTAGGTCTACAATCTTGTCCCTGACATCCTTGGAGAGCTCTTTGGTCTTGGCCATGGTGGAGAGTTTGGAATCTGATTGATTGTTTCTGTGGACAGGTGCCTTTTATACAGGTAACAAGCTGAGATTAGGAGCACTCCCTTTAAGAGTGCGCTCCTAATCTCAGCTCATTACCTGTATAAAAGATACCTTGGAGCCAGAAATCTTTCTTATTTTCCTCATTAAAATGCAAATTAATTTATACAATTTTTGACATGCGTTTTTCTGCATTTTTTTGTCTCTCACTGTTCAAATAAACATATAATAAAAATTATAGACTGATCATTTCTTTGTCAGTGGGCAAACGTACAAAATCAGCAGGGGATCAAATACTTTTTTCCCTCACTGTACATCCATGGAGATCTTCTCGAACTACATGGACAAGGACGATGTTAAATAGTATAGGGGCCAGAGGACATTTCTGTCACACTCTGAGGTGAACAGGGAATGGCTCCGACTCCCGGCCACGTAGTTTTACCTGGGCCTGCCCAACATCATGAAGGTGCTTAATGATTGTGAGCAGATAGTCAGGGACTCCAAAAGCACGAAGAGCAACCCATAGCCCAGGCCTATTGATGGTTTCATAGGCCTTGACCAGGTCAATAAAGCAGAGATGTAGGTCCTGTCAGAATTCCTTACATGTCTGCTATAGCAGACGCACAAAATATATGGCATCTGTGCAGGACCGTCCTGGTCTGAAACCACATTGGGGTTTCAGCAAGCCTCTCCTCAGCGTGCCTGGTAAGGCGATGTTGATTAATCCTTGCCAGGACCTTTCCCGGCACACTGAGGAGGGAGAAACCCCGGTAGTTCTTGCAATCAGTGTGGTCCCCTTAAAAAAAAAAATGGGGACCAGAACGGCATCCTTCCAATCCTGCAGAATCCTTCCTGTAGACAAGACCGTCATAATGATTTCACATAGGGCAGTCTGTACACAAACGAAACCATCCCTCAGCAATTCGGTTAAAAGGTCATCTCTCCCCGGCGCTTTGCCTGGTTTCAAGCTCCAGATTGCTCTTCGCACCTCCTCAACAGATGGCACCTCAGCTGACCACTCACAAGGAGTGGCTACTTCCTCCAATATTTCAGACACAGCAGCACCAGCAGGGTCAACCCCGCCTTGCCCCTATGGTTGTTGTTTGAGCTGAGGGGATTCTCCCCCAAGACCTCGCAGATTTGCTCAGTAAAAACTGCGAACCTGTACTTGGGGGTTGGAGATCGGCTCACTTTTATTTCCCTTAAGGATGGTGATAAGTGTAGCGCGCCAAGTTACTTTTTTGATGGTGGGAGTGGGCCTGCCGCTTACTTTCAACATTCCGGAACAGCTCCTCTGTTAGCCAGGGCTTCTGGGGAGGCCTGGACTGCGTACCCAATGCAGCCATAGCAGCTGCTTTAGTAGCTGTCTTGGAACACACTGATTTCTCTTCGACGTCAGGAGGAGGTGGGGGGGGATGTCAAGCCCAGTTGCAAGTGATGATGAAATTCTTGCTTGCAACCTTCGTCAGCTAGACGGGATCAGGCCATTGTGGCTTGGAGTGGAGTCCTTGATAGATAATTATCACCACAGTGAGAGAATGGTAGGCACAGCTTACAGATGACAAGCCGATGGTCAGTAGGTAGACCAGTTCCACGGTAGGTCCTGATGTCAAGGACGTGGGCCTGCATTCACTGTTTTGTAACTATGTAGTCCAGAATGTTTTTGCTTGGACCCAGTGTACATTCATGATGTTGTGTGAATGCGCTAATGCCAGAAAAGCTTGTTGGTGATTACAAGCTCATGGTCTGCACATAAGTCTAGCAGCTTCCTACCGTTGTCATTGAGCTGATCTGGCCCATGCTTTCCAATCATTCCAACCCAGGTGTCTGCGTCATGACCCACTCGGGCATTATAGTCACCCAATAGGATGATTCTATCTCGAGGAGTGACATCAGGCAGCACCTGGGACAGAAGGTAATAAAAGCCATTTGACTCATCAGCGTGGGCAGCATCAATCCACTGATGTTCATCTTTGGTGGGGGTGTAAGAGGCCGTCCATAAATTACGTCACGCACCTGGGGGGGGTTAGACAAATGTGACGGGGGGGGGGGGGGGGTTTGAGAAATGTGACGTCACATCAAAATGCGCAACTTTTAATAAATATAGCCAACACGTTCTCCTTAATTAAATAGACTTTTTAATAAACTTTTTCTCCTACAACAGAGTGCAGCGCCACGTTAAATACGCACTACAATGACAATAGTTTAAAGCGATTTGAAGCGTGTTTTATTTATATTTGGGGGGGGGGGGGCAGAGCTTTGTGACGTCATATTTAAGGGGGGGTTGACTTTTTGCGACGCCGTGTGACGAGGGGGGGGGGTTTCAAAAATCGTCCAAAATCGCGTGACCTCATTTATGGACGGCCCCTTAGCCACTATCACCACTATCCCTCTCGTCTCGTTGATGGAGATGCGAGTCCTCAATAACCTGGGACTCACAGCTGCCCACGCTTCCACACCCCCTTCATCCTTTTGTTCAAAAGAAGAGCTGCTCCCTGTTGGTTGGCAGTTTCCTGCAGAGAAGTGTGGGGACTGGAACCAGAACCAGGCCACCGGACCTCCTTTACACCACAGAGGTCCTGGCGGTACCGGTGCAGCTTCCGACAGAGGAATGGAAGTCTCTCCTCCACGGCAAACGTTCGGACATTCCACGTGGCCAACCTCGGTGTTCTCCTGAAGTGTTCTTTGGTTCTTTCGGTAAAGTGACATAGAGAGAAATATAAATATCACGTGAATACAAATAAAAATAATAGTGAAAAATAAAAAACACTTATGGAGACTAGCCTGGATCTTAATCTGAGTGAGTGTACTGGCAGTCTGTAATGTAGACTGTAGCCTGGTTATTAAGTTTGATGAGTGTACTGACAGTCTATAATGTAGACTGTAGCCTGGTTATTAAGCTGGGTGAGTGTACTGGCAGTCTATAATGTAGACTGTGGCCTGATTCTTAAGTCTACATTATAGACTGCCAGTACGCTCACTCATATTAAGAACCAGGCTACAGTCTACACGAGTGTTTTTTGATTATTTGTTTTTTATTCACTTTTTTTATCTACGTGACTTTACCGAGAGAACCAAATAATATGAATTCCTGCAGTCACGAAAATTCTCCCGAAGTGTTTCTTGACAAGCCCCGAGGGGAGGGGGGTAGAGTCTGTCTCCACCAAACGGGGTCTTGCCAGCAGGCGTCACGGACGCCTCTCCTCCCCGGAGGCCTCCAGCACGAGCTCACATGATGGCTGTTTACACCGCAGGCTATTGGTATAAGTCAGAGGTTAACAGCACCCTCGCAGCACACGCTGACCATCGCTCACTCACGAGCAATCCCTCACCACCACATTGTTCTCCTCTTGCGTGCCACGATGGCAATGTTCGAGGTCTCTGCTGCTGCTGCTGGCCACGACGAGAGGGCTTCAGCAGAGACAGTGAGAGAGAGTTTGTGTCAGAGAGTTCGTGTCAGAGAGAGAGAGTTTGTGTCAGAGAGTTCGTGTCAGAGAGAGAGAGTTTGTGTCAGAGAGAGAGAGTTTGTGTCAGAGAGAGAGAGAGTTTGTGTCAGAGAGAGATAATTCGTGTCAGAGAGAGAGAGTTTGTGTCAGAGAGAGAATTCGTGTCAGATAGAGAGTTCGTGTCAGAGAGAGAGAGTTTGTGTCAGAGAGTTCGTGTCAGAGAGAGAGAGAGTTTGTGTCAGAGAGAGAGAATTTGTGTCAGATAGAGAGTTCGTGTCAGAGAGAGAGAGAGTTTGTGTCAGATAGAGAGTTCGTGTCAGAGAGAGAGAGTTCGTGTTAGAGAGAGAGAGAGAGTTTGTGTCAGATAGAGAGTTCGTGTCAGAGAGAGAGAGTTTGTGTCAGAGAGAGAGAGTTTGTGTCAGATAGAGAGTTCGTGTCAGAGAGAGAGAGTTTGTGTCAGAGAGAGAGAATTCGTGTCAGATAGAGAGTTCGTGTCAGAGAGAGAGAGTTTGTGTCAGATAGAGAGTTCGTGTCAGAGAGAGAGAGAGTTCGTGTCAGAGAGAGAGAGAGAGTTTGTGTCAGAGAGAGAGAGAGTTTGTGTCAGAGAGAGAGAGAGTTTGTGTCAGAGAGAGATAATTCGTGTCAGAGAGAGAGAGTTTGTGTCAGAGAGAGAATTCGTGTCAGATAGAGAGTTCGTGTCAGAGAGAGAGAGTTTGTGTCAGAGAGTTCGTGTCAGAGAGAGAGAGAGAGTTTGTGTCAGAGAGAGAGAATTTGTGTCAGATAGAGAGTTCGTGTCAGAGAGAGAGAGAGTTTGTGTCAGATAGAGAGTTCGTGTCAGAGAGAGAGAGTTCGTGTTAGAGAGAGAGAGAGAGTTTGTGTCAGATAGAGAGTTCGTGTCAGAGAGAGAGAGTTTGTGTCAGAGAGAGAGAGTTTGTGTCAGATAGAGAGTTCGTGTCAGAGAGAGAGAGTTTGTGTCAGAGAGAGAGAATTCGTGTCAGATAGAGAGTTCGTGTCAGAGAGAGAGAGTTTGTGTCAGATAGAGAGTTCGTGTCAGAGAGAGAGAGAGTTCGTGTCAGAGAGAGAGAGAGAGTTCGTGTCAGAGAGAGAGTTTGTGTCAGAGAGAGAGAATTCGTGTCAGATAGAGAGTTCGTGTCAGAGAGAGAGAGTTTGTGTCAGATAGAGAGTTCGTGTCAGAGAGAGAGAGAGTTCGTGTCAGAGAGAGAGAGAGTTTGTGTCAGAGAGAGAGTTTGTGTCAGAGAGAGAGAATTCGTGTCAGATAGAGAGTTCGTGTCAGAGAGAGAGAGTTTGTGTCAGATAGAGAGTTCGTGTCAGAGAGAGAGAGAGTTCGTGTCAGAGAGAGAGAGAGTTTGTGTCAGAGAGAGAGTTTGTGTCAGAGAGAGAGAATTCGTGTCAGATAGAGAGTTCGTGTCAGAGAGAGAGAGTTTGTGTCAGATAGAGAGTTCGTGTCAGAGAGAGAGAGTTTGTGTCAGATAGAGAGTTCGTGTCAGAGAGAGAGAGTTTGTGTCAGAGAGAGAGAGTTTGTGTCAGAGAGAGAGTTCGTGTCAGATAGAGAGTTCGTGTCAGAGAGAGAGAGAGTTTGTGTCAGATAGAGAGTTCGTGTCAGAGAGAGAGAGTTTGTGTCAGAGAGAGAGTTTGTGTCAGAGAGAGAGTTTGTGTCAGAGAGAGAGTTCGTGTCAGAGAGAGAGAGTTTGTGTCAGAGAGAGAGTTTGTGTCAGAGAGAGAGTTTGTGTCAGAGAGAGAGTTCGTGTCAGAGAGAGAGAGTTTGTGTCAGAGCGAGAGTTTGTGTCAGAGAGAGAGTTTGTGTCAGAGAGAGAGTTTGTGTCAGAGAGAGAGTTCGTGTCAGAGAGAGAGTTTGTGTCAGAGAGAGAGTTTGTGTCAGAGAGAGAGAGTTCGTGTCAGAGAGAGAGTTTGTGTCAGAGAGAGAGTTCGTGTCAGAGAGAGAGTTCGTGTCACAGAGAGAGAGTTTGTGTCACAGAGAGAGAGTTTGTGTCAGAGAGTTCGTGTCAGAGAGAGAGAGTTCGTGTCAGAGAGAGAGAGAGTTCGTGTCAGAGAGAGTGAGAGAGAGTTTGTGTCAGATAGAGAGTTCGTGTCAGAGAGAGAGTTTGTGTCAGAGAGTTTGTGTCAGAGAGAGAGAGTTCGTGTCAGAGAGAGAGAGTTTGTGTCACAGAGAGAGAGTTCGTGTCAGAGAGAGAGTTCGTGTCAGTAGAAAGAGAGTTCGTGTCAGAGAGTTCGTGTCAGAGAGAGAGAGTTCGTGTCAGAGAGAGAGAGTTCGTGTCAGAGAGAGAGAATTCGTGTCAGAGACAGAGTTCGTGTCAGAGAGAGAGTTTGTGTCACAGAGAGAGAGTTCGTGTCAGCAGAGAGAGAGTTCGTGTCAGAGAGAGAGTTCGTGTCAAAGAGAGAGAGTTCGTGTCAGTAGAGAGAGAGTTCGTGTCGGAGAGTTCGTGTCAGAGAGAGAGTTCGTGTCGCACACACCACAGTCGTGTTCACTATATGGCCCACAGTTGCACCACTGCAGCTTACGAACCCCACCACCTGAGTTCGATTCCCACTCACGGCCAAACACACGTGACGGTGAATATCCAAACTAGTCCTGGGTCTCACGTGGGTCGACTCAGCCTGGGGCAGTGCGTAAAAAAGCATCGCCACTAGGGAGACAAAGGCGGCCAGGCTTGGTGCTGGCCACCCATCCCCCCTCTTGTGCCGTGCCGACCCTCATAGGTGATCGTGAATGGCACTTGTCCACACGGTCTGTTGAGGCTACGCGGGGGATCTTTGTCTTTGTGTGCGTGTGCAGGGGAGTTATAGGCAAACAGGGTTACCAATGCCAAGGTAAATAGCATCCCCACCATCACCCCCACCATCACCACCCCCATCACCACCCCCACCACCATCACCATCCACACCATCCACACCATCACCACCATCACCCCCATCACCACCACCACCATCACCATCCACACCATCACCCCAACCATCACTACCCCCATCACCACCATCACCCCCATCACAACTCCCATCACCATTACCACCCTCATTACTACCGCCAACAACAACAGCCGCCATTCGCCACTAAGTGGCAGTGATCTCACCACGGCGCCCGTGCCAGGCCAGGTGCACTTTGAGGCCTCATGAAATGTCAAAGACTAGCTGACAGGAGGTCATGGGACAGACCCAGGTGCCATGGGTTGACCGACTGTGATGACTGGCAGATGCACCACCTGTGCCCCCTTCTGTGCCAACTTGATGTGTTTTAGCCGCCTGGCGCTCCGCTCGTTGTTGTGAGTGTTGCTCATCTGGACTCCGTTGTTGCTGGAGGGCGACTGCCCCCACATCCTCTTGTACCACATCACTCCATCTCTTCTCTAGCCCGTGCTGTGCCCATTTAGCCCCCCTATGCAGCTAAACAGAAGCTGCTAGGGCATGCAGTGACTGGGCATGTGGGCTACATGACCCAGCCAACGCAGATTTGCCTGCCGGAGGAGCTCACTGATGGGACTTTGTCCAGATCTTTCGAGGATTTGTGAACTCCTCACACAATACAGCCTGGTTAAACCCAGGATGGATCATAGGCAGGCCAGCCTAAATGTTTCTAACCGGCGAAGATGTTCCATCAGGGGGATACACGTTTCACAAGCATAGAGAAGGGAGGGCATGACTGTAGCCGAGAAGACCTGAAGCTTCGTGTGGAGCGACAGACCAGGTAGCTTCCACACAGTGTTACGCAGCCGATTAATAGATATTGCCGCTCGACTGATTCGGGGTGAGACCTCTGCTGCCAAACCGGAGATGGTTATGAGCACGCCGCCCAGGTATGGGAAACTCTCCACTCCCTCCACAACTGCTCCATCACCAATGGGGAGCTGAGGGGGTGGCGTGTTTGATGGCACAAAATACCCAGGCAGGTGCTTAGTGTTGGTGGAGTTGATGGTAAGATCTCCACTACCATCACTACCCACATCACTTCCCTGACTACCATCAGCACCCCCATCATTATTGCCACCCCCATCACAACCCCCATCACTGCCCACATCACGACCCCCACCTCCATCACTACCCACATCACCATCACAAGCCCCATCACTACCCACATCACTTCCGCCATCCCCATGACCACCCCATCAAGTTAAATCGCATCCCTGCCAATCCGACTCGCGTTCTTATCTTGGATCCCCCCACTGGTCCCGCCCCTCCCCCTCAGTGTGCACGTGCGTTGTTCACAAGCGATGTCATCAGCTGATCATCACGCGCTGTCCCGGCATGAAGAGAGACTCCTCCCCCGAGGTGATGCCATCACCCACATCACCATCGCTGCCACAAGCACCATCACCACGGGCAGCAGCAGCAGCACCACCACAAGCAGCATCGCCATCACCGCAACCGTCACCACAAGCAGCATCGCCATCACCGCAACCACCATCACCGCAACCACCATCACCACCACAAGCAACATCACTGCAACCGCCATCGTCACCACAACCACCATCACTGCAACCACCATCACCACCATCACCACCACCAGCAGCATCACCATCACCACGGGCAGCAGCAGCACCACCACAAGCAGCATCGCCATCACCGCAACCGTCACCACAAGCAGCATCACCGAAACCACCATCACAAGCAGCATCGCCATCACCGCAACCACCATCACCACCACAAGCAGTATTGCCATCACTGCAACCACCATCACCACCACAAGCATCATCGCCATCACCGCAACCATCATCACCACAAGCAGCAGCATCGCCATCACCACTTCCATTATCACCACGAGCATCATCACTGCCATCACCACCATCATCTTCACCACTCTGCCCATCACCGTCACTGTGTGCGCAGCGGGGGAGCGGTGGCGCAGTGGTTAGCGCAGCTGCGCTACGAATGGCGGCGACCAGAGTTCGATTCCCGCTCACTGCTACCACCACCAGTGACGGTTATCGGAACATGGTCCTGTGACTCCTCTAGGTCGACTCAGCCTCAAATGAGTAGCTGGTGCGGTGTGTAAACATCGCCACTAGGGAGACAAAGGCGGTCGGGCGTGGTGCTGGTCACCCACCCCTTCGTGTACCGTGCCGGCCTTCAAAGGTGCTCGCTAACAGCACTTGCCCCGACAGTGTATCAAGGCTATATGGGGGATCTTTGTCTTTGTATAAACATCGACACTGGAGAGACAAAGGCGGCCGAGCGGACGTGGGTGCTGACCACCCGCTCGTGCGGCGTGTCGGCCATCATCGGTGCTACTCACTGGTGATGGTAGAGGTGATGGTGGTGGTGGTGGAGGTGATGGTGGTAGTAATAGAAGTGGTGGTGGAGGGGATGGTGGTGGTGGTGGAGGTGATGGTGGTAGTAATAGAAGTGGTGGTGGAGGGGATGGTGGTGGTGATGGTGGTGATGGTGGTAGTAATAGAAGTGGTGGTGGAGGGGATGGTGGTGGTGGTGGAGGTGATGGTGGTAGTAATAGAAGTGGTGGTGGAGGGGATGGTGGTGGTGGAGGTGATGGTGGTGGTGGAGGTGGTGGTGGAGGTGATGGTGGTGGAGATGATGGAGGTGGTGGTGGAGGTGATGCTGGTGGTGGTGGAGGTGGTGATGGTGGTGGTGATGGAGACGATCGTGGTGGAAGTGGTGGAGGTGGAGCACCTATGCCAAGTGCTCGCAGCGCTTGCCCCCACAGTGCGTCGAGGCTACCCGGGGGACCTTTGTGTTTGCGTGCGTGCAGGTCGGGGGTCAGAGGTTCAACATCAACGTGCCGCACAAGTTCTACATCCACAACTACAAGGTGCCCACCTTCTGTGACCACTGCGGCTCCCTGCTCTGGGGGCTGCTCCGCCAGGGACTCCACTGCAAGGGTGAGGAGTGCTGGTGGTGGTGGTGAGGAGTGGTGGTGGTGGTGAGGAGTGGTGGTGGTGGTGGTGAGGAGTGGTGAGGAGTGGTGGTGGTGAGTGGTGGTGGTGAGGAGTGGTGGTGGTGAGGAGTGCTGGTGGTGGTGGTGAGGAGTGGTGGTGGTGGTGAGGAGTGGTGGTGGTGAGGAGTGGTGGTGGTGGTGAGGAGTGCTGGTGGTGGTGAGTGGTGGTTGTGAGGAGTGGTGGTGGTGAGGAGTGGTGGTGGTGGTGGTGAGGAGTGGTGGTGGTGGTGAGGAGTGGTGGTGGTGGTGAGCGGCGGTGGTGGTGAGCGGAAGGGAGGGGTGGGGGTACGTCTCCGTCTCACGGTGTGTCTGTGTCTCCATGTCACTATCTATTTCTTCCGTGTCTCATTGTGTGTCTCCGTGTCCCCGTGTCCCCGTGTCTCTGTAACGCCCTGTGTCTCCGTGTCCCCGTGTCTCTGTAACGCCCTGTGTCTCCATGTCCCCGTGTCCCCGTGTCCCCGTGTCTCTGTAACGCCCTGTGTCTCCATGTCCCCGTGTCCCCGTGTTCCCGTGTCTCTGTGTCTCTGTGTCTCCATGTCTCCATGTCCCCATGTCTCTGTGTCTCCGTGTCTCCATGTCTCCGTGTATCCATGCCCCCGTGTCTCCATGTCCCCGTGTCTCCATGTCTCTGTGTCTCCATGTCCCCGTGTCTCCATGTCCCCGTGTCTCCATGTCCCCGTGTCTCCATGTCCCCGTGTCTCCATGTCTCCGTGTCCCAGAGTGCCGCATGGACGTGCACCGCCGGTGCGAGCGGAACGTGGCTCCCAACTGCGGGGTGGACGCGCGGGAGATGGCGCGCGTCCTCGCCACCATCGGGGTCACTCCCGACAAGATCAACCAGCCCCGGAGGAAGGTGGACAACGCTCGCCCACTCACTCACCAACTCACTTCTCCAACCACCGCCACGCTCACTCACTCACCCACTCACTCACCACCTCGCTTACTCACTCACCCACTTACTAACCCACTCACTCACTCCTCCAACTACCGCCATGCTCACCCACTCACTAACCCACTCACTATCTCCTCTATTTACCACCTCACTCACTCGCTCACTCACCCACCTGCTCGCTTATTCACCCACTCACCCTCTCACCCTCTCACCCACTCACCCTCTCGCCCTCTCAGCCTCTCAGCCTCTCACCCACTCACCCTCTCACCCTCTCACCCTCTCACCCACTCACCCTCTCACCCACACACCCACTCACCCTCTCACCCACTCACCCTCTCACCCACTCACCCTCTCACCCACTCACCCTCTCACCCACTCACCCTCTAACCCACTCACCCACTCACCCACTCACCCTCTAACCCACTAACCCACTCACCCACTCACCCTCTCACCCACTCACCCTCTCACCCACACACCCACTCACCCTCTCACCCACTCACCCTCTCACCCACTCACCCTCTCACCCACTCACCCTCTCACCCACTCACCCTCTAACCCACTCACCCACTCACCCACTCACCCACTCACCCTCTCACCCTCTAACCCTCTAACCCTCTCACCCACTCACCCTCTCACCCCCCCTCCCCCCCCCCCCCCCAATCAGGGAGGCACCCCCCCTCTGGTCCTGGCTGGAGACGGGAAGCAGCACAGTCACGTGGACAGGTCCAAGTCGGCCCCACCCACACAGCCACAGCCTGAAGGTGAGCAGCATCATCAGCAAGAGCATCATCATCATCAGCATCATCATCAGCAGCAGCATCAGTAGTAGCATCTGCATCATCAGCAGCAGCATCATCAGTAGTAGCATCGTCAGCAGTAACATAATTATCAGCAGCAGCAGTAGCATCATCATCATCAGCAGCATCATCAGTGGTAGCATCAGCATCATCATCAGCAGCAGCAGAATCATCAGCAGCAGCATCATCAGCAGCAGCAGCATCATCATCAGCAGCAGTAGCATCATCATCAGCATCATCATCAGCAGCATCACCATCAGCATCATCATCAGCAGCATCACCATCAGCATCATCAGCATCACCATCAGCATCATCATCAGCAGCAGCATCACCATCAGTTACATCAGCAGCATCACCATCAGTATCATCATCAGCAGCAGCTTCACCATCAGTATCATCATCAGCAGCAGCATCACCATCAGTATCATCATCATCATCAGCAGCATCACCATCAGCAGCAGTAGCATCATCATCATCATCATCAGCAGCATCACTATCAGCATCATCATCATCAGCAGCATCACCATCAGCATCATCAGTAGTAGCACCATCAGCAGTAACAGAATCATCAGCAGCAGCATCAGCAGCAGTAGCATCATCATCATCAGCAGCATCATCATCAGGTTGCACATTCCTGATCAACTAATCGCCTCTCCTCCCCCCTCTCTCTCGCTGGGCCTTGCAGATGTTGAGGAGGAGGGCCACTTCGGTGTGAGGAAGGCTCGGTCCTTCAACGGCGGTGAAGGGGATGGAGGAGGAGGAGGAGGGGGGGAGGCGGGGGTCGCCGTGGAGGGTGGGGGACTGCCTCTGCCACCTGGGTTCGCTGTCGAACCGGGAGGGGGGAGCCCAGCCGACGGCTCCCACGAGGTGGCACCGCGTCGGAAGCTGGGCCTGGGCGACTTCAACTTCATCAAGGTCCTGGGGAAGGGCAGCTTCGGGAAGGTGAGGGAGGAGGGGAGGGAAGGGGGCGCTTTTTCATCGTGCACCCCAAAACGGTGTGGGTGGCACATTCGCTCGCACGTGGGTGGGCGTCTTCAAAGTTCCTGGGGCTTGTGGGATATTTTGCTGGGTGCACCCTCAGTTGCACTGCGGGTGTGGTCATCCGAGGAGCGTGTGTCCAACCTGCACCCACGTGTCCTTTAGCAAAGTGCACCCAAGTGAGTCTTGTCATTTCACAAAGTGAACTCAAGTCTCTTGTGCACCCAGTAATGTGTCGTTTCTCAAGGTGCACCCCAGTGAGCCGCATGCCATGTCATCTCACAAAGTGCATCCAAGCGAGAGCTTCTGTCATTTCACAAGGTGTGTCGCGTTGATTCTCAAGCTGCACTCCGTGCGGCGCAGGTGCTGCTGGCGGAGCTGCGTGGCCGGGGGGGACGCCGGGCGGCTGGTGAGGGTGGTGAGGGTGGTGAGGGTGGTGAAGAGGGTGAGGAGGGTGAGGATGGTGGTGAGGTGTTCGCCGTGAAGGTCCTGCGCAAGGACGCGATCGTACAGGACGATGACGTGGAGTGCACCCTGACGGAGAAGCGCGTCCTGGTGACGGGGCGTGCTCACCCCTACCTCACCCAGCTGCTCTGCTGCTTCCAGACCGCGGTGAGATCACATCACCCCTAGCTCACCCTCACCCCTAGCTCACCCCTAGCTCACCCTCACCCCTAGCTCACCCTAACCCCTAGCTCACCCTCACCCCTAGCTCACCCCTAGCTCACCCTCACCCCTAGCTCACCCTCACTCCTAGCTCACCCTCACCTCTAGCTCACCCTCACCCCTAGCTCACCCTCACCCCTAGCTCACCCTCACCTCTAGCTCACCCTCACCCCTAGCTCACCCTCACCTCTAGCTCACCCTCACTTCTAGCTCACCCCTAGCTCACCCTCACCCCTAGCTCACCGTCACTCCTAGCTCACCCTCACCCCTAGCTCACCCTCACCTCTAGCTCACCCTCACCCCTAGCTCACCCTCACCCCTAGCTCACCCTCACCTCTAGCTCACCCTCACCCCTAGCTCACCCTCACCTCTAGCTCACCCTCACTTCTAGCTCACCCCTAGCTCACCCTCACCCCTAGCTCACCGTCACTCCTAGCTCACCCTCACCCCTAGCTCACCCTCACCTCTAGCTCACCCTCACCCCTAGCTCACCCTCACCTCTAGCTCACCCTCACCCCTAGCTCACCCCTAGCTCACCCTCACCCCTAGCTCACCCTCACCCCTAGCTCACCCTCACCCCTAGCTCACCCCTAGCTCACCCTCACCTCTAGCTCACCCTCACCCCTAGCTCACCCTCACCTCTAGCTCACCCTCACCCCTAGCTCACCCTCACCCCTAGCTCACCCTCACCCCTACCTCCCCTCACCCCTAGCTCACCCTCACCCCTAGCTCACCCTCACCTCTAGCTCACCCTCACCCCTACCTCACCCTCACCCCTAGCTCACCCTCACCCCTACCTCCCCTCACCCCTAGCTCACCCTCACCCCTAGCTCACCCTCACTTCTAGCTCACCCCTAGCTCACCCTCACCCCTACCTCACCGTCACTCCTAGCTCACCCTCACCCCTAGCTCACCCTCACCCCTAGCTCACCCTCACCCCTAGCTCACCCTCACCTCTAGCTCACCCTCACCCCTAGCTCACCCTCACCTCTAGCTCACCCTCACCTCTAGCTCACCCCTCGCTCACCCTCACCCCTCGCTCACCCTCACCTCTACCTCACCCCTAGCTCACCATCACCTCTATCTCACCCTCACCTCTATCACACCCTCACCCCTAGCTCACCCTCACCCCTAGCTCACCCTCACCCCTAGCTCACCCCTAGCTCACCCCTAGCTCACCCTCACTCCTACCTCACCCTCATTCCTACCTCACCCTCACCCCTACCTCGCTCCTACCTCACCCCTACCTCACCCTCACCCCTACCTCACCCCAACTACACACAGTGCTTCTGCTGTTACTGTTGCTGCTTCTACTACTGCTACTACTACTGCTGCTACTGCTGCTGCTGCTACTGCTGCTGCTGTTGTTGCTGCAGGACCGGCTGTTCTTCGTGATGGAGTGCGTGAGTGGAGGGGACCTCATGTTCCACATCCAGCGTGCACGCAAGTTCCCCGAGCCGCGAGCGCGCTTCTACGCTGCCGAGATCACCTGTGCACTCACGTTCCTGCACACCCACGGCGTCGTCTACCGGTGAGGCGCTCACCCCGCTCACCCTCACCACCCTCACCACCACTACGGGGGGTCTAGCGGTGAGACGCTCACCCCGCTCACCCTCACCACCACCACGGGGGGTCTAGCGGTGAGGCGCTCACCCCGCTCACCCTCACCGCCACCACGGGGGGTCTCGCGGTGAGGCGCTCACCCCGCTCACCCTCACCACCACCACGGGGGGTCTAGCGGTGAGGCGCTCACCCCGCTCACCCTCACCGCCACCACGGGGGGTCTCGCGGTGAGGCGCTCACCCCGCTCACCCTCACCACCACCACGGGGGGTCTAGCGGTGAGACGCTCACCCCGCTCACCCTCACCGCTACCACGGGGGGTCTAGCGGTGAGGCGCTCACCCCGCTCACCCTCACCGCTACCACGGGGAGGTCTAGCGGTGAGGCGCTCACCCCGCTCACCCTCACCACCACCACGGGGGGGTCTAGCGGTGAGGCGCTCACCCCGCTCACCCTCACCACCACCACGGGGGGTCTAGTGGTGAGGCGCTCACCCTCACCACCCTCACCACCACCACGGGGGGTCTAGCGGTGAGGCGCTCACCCCGCTCACCCTCACCGCTACCACGGGGAGGTCTAGCGGTGAGGCGCTCACCCCGCTCACCCTCACCACCACCACCACGGGGGGTCTAGCGGTAAGACGCTCACACTCACCACCACCACGGGGGGTCTAGCGGTGAGGCGCTCACCCCGCTCACCCTCACCACCACCACGGGGGGTCTAGCGGTGAGACGCTCACCCCGCTCACCCTCACCACCACCACCACGGGGGGTCTAGCGGTGAGGCGCTCACCCCGCTCACCCTCACCACCACCACGGGGGGGGGGTCTAGTGGTGAGACACTCACCCCGCTCACCCTCACCACTACCACCACGGGGGGGGGGGGGGGTCTAGCGGTGAGGCGCTCACCCCGCTCACCGTCACCGCCACCACAGGGGGGGGTCTAGCGGTGAGGCGCTCACCCTCACCACCACCACGGGGGTCTACCGGTGAGGCGCTCACCCCGCTCACCCTCACCACCCCCACGGGGAGGTCTAGCGGTGAGACGCTCACCCCGCTCACCCTCACCGCTACCACGGGGAGGTCTAGCGGTGAGACGCTCACCCCGCTCACCCTCACCGCTACCACGGGGAGGTCTAGCGGTAAGACGCTCACCCCGCTCACCCTCACCGCTACCACCACGGGGGGGGGGGGTCTAGCGGTGAGGCGCTCACCCCGCTCACCCTCACCGCTACCACGGGGGGTCTAGCGGTGAGACACTCACCCCGCTCACCGTCACCGCCACCACAGGGGGGGGTCTAGCGGTGAGGCGCTCACCCTCACCACCACCACGGGGGGTCTACCGGTGAGGCGCTCACCCCGCTCACCCTCACCACCACCACGGGGAGGTCTAGCGGTAAGACGCTCACCCCGCTCACCCTCACCACCACCACGGGGAGGTCTAGCGGTGAGACGCTCATCCCACTCACCCTCACCACCACCACCACCACCACGGGGGGTCTAGCGGTGAGACGCTCACCCCGCTCACCCTCACCACCACCACGGGGGGGTCTACCGGTGAGGTGCTCACCCCCGCTCACCCTCACCACCACCACGGGGGGGGGGGGGGGTCTAGCGGTGAGACGCTCACCCTGCTCACCCTCATCTCAACACCTGTTTTGTTGTCAGAAAAAAGGGGAAAACCTATTCTCATATTTTGGTACTGGCAAAGGAGGCCCCATGATGTTCCCACGTGTTCCCGCGTGTTCCCACGTGTGTGTGTTCCCACGTGTTCCCACGTGTGTGTGTTCCCACGTGTTCCCACGTGTGTGTGTTCCCACGTGTGTGTGTTCCCACGTGTTCCCACGTGTGTGTGTTCCCACGTGTGTGTGTTCCCACGTGTTCCCACGTGTGTGTGTTCCCACGTGTGTGTGTTCCCACGTGTTCCCACGTGTTCCCACGTGTTCCCACGTGTGTGTGTTCCCACGTTTTCCCACGTGTGTGTGTTCCCACGTGTTCCCACGTGTATGTGTTCCCACGTGTTCCCACGTGTGTGTGTTCCCACGTGTTCCCACGTGTGTGTGTTCCCACGTGTTCCCACGTGTTCCCGCGTGTTCCCACGTGTGTGTGTTCCCACGTGTTCCCACGTGTGTGTGTTCCCACGTGTTCCCACGTGTTCCCACGTGTGTGTGTTCCCACGTGTTCCCACGTGTTCCCACGTGTTCCCACGTGTGTGTGTTCCCACGTGTTCCCACGTGTGTGTGTTCCCACGTGTGTGTGTTCCCACGTGTGTGTGTTCCCACGTGTTCCCACGTGTTCCCACGTGTGTATGTTCCTGCGTGTGTGTTCTCACGTGTGTGTGTTCCCACGTGTGTATGTTCCCGCGTGTGTGTTCTCACGTGTGTGTGTTCCCACGTGTGTGTGTTCCCACGTGTGTGTGTGTGTTCCCACGTGTTCCCACGTGTGTGTGTTCCCACGTGTGTGTGTTCCCACGTGTGTGTGTTCCCACGTGTGTGTGTTCCCACGTGTGTGTTCCCACGTGTGTATGTTCCCGCGTGTGTGTTCTCACGTGTGTGTGTTCCCACGTGTTCCCAAGTGTGTGTGTTCTCACGTGTTCCCATCTGCGGGTGTTCCCATGTGCACGTGTTCCCACGTGTTCCCATGTGCACGTGTTTCCATGTATTCCCTTGTGTGCGTGTTCCGCTGCATGTACTCCCATGTGTGCGTGTTCCCGTATGTTCATGTTCCCATGTGCGTGTGTTCCCGTGTGTTCCCGTGTGTGCGTGTTCCCGTGTGTGCATGTTACCATGTACATGTGTTCCCGTGTATTCCCGCGTGTTCCCATGTGTGTGTGTTCCCGTGTGTTCCCGTGTGTGCGTGTTCCCCTGCGTGTGACCCCCCCCCCCCCTGCGTGTGTTCCCGTGAGCAGGGATCTGAAGCTAGACAACATCTTGCTGGATGCCGAGGGGCACTGCAAGCTCGCCGACTTTGGGATGTGCAAGGAGGGCGTGAAGGACGGGGTCACGACCTCCACGTTCTGCGGCACCCCCGACTACATCGCTCCCGAGGTGGGGGGGCCGCGGGGAGGGGGGTGGAGGGAGGTTGGGGTGGGGGGGTGGAAGGAGGGGGGGCGGTGGGTGGGGGGTAGGAGGGGAGGGAGAGGGATCTGATTCTGCCGAGGTGGCTGCTATCCACGCCGCTCGTTCCAACTCGCGCAGCTTAGGGCGTGGATGGGGCGAGGGCTTGTTAACTGCGTTACGCGGTAACCCGTTGGAGAACCGGTCACTGGTTCCAAGGGGAATATGAGCGAAGAACGCACCGATTGGCACGTTATGGTGGTTGTGGTGGTGCTGGTTGTTGTGATGGTGGTTGTTGCAGTGGTGGTGGTGGTGGTTGCGGTGATTGTGGTGGTGGTTGTGATTTCCAACAGCCTAAAATCGGTTCTAGCTAAATTATTGAATTTCGCAGTCACCCCTAAACACATCCCAGTGGATGATATCATTGCCCAGGTCGATGTAGCCCTTAAGGGTTTGGGACACATCACTGCAGACGTGGCAAGATCGGAAATCACTGCAATCCTTAAAAATGCAATGACACGTATCAGCAACTTCAGTAGGGATGAGCGCTTTGAGCTTTCTCAATTAAAAAAGAGAGATGACATCCTCATATTCTCAGCCGACAAGGGCAATTCCACAGTTATCATGGACAAAACCACATACAATAACACAATTCAGGACCTACTTAATGATGGTAGCTATGCAAAAATTAAAAGAGATCCCACCAACAGCTTCGTTATGAAAACCAACAATATCATCACTGATTCGACACCTTTAATCGAACCAACCAAGCGGTTTTCCTTAAAACCCTCTGCTGCTAGAACACCCAGATTTTATGGCTTACCAAAAATCCATAATGAGGGTACACCCCTTCGTCCTATCGTCTCCACCATTGACTCACCCACCTACAAACTGGCCCGATTTCTGTCTGAGACCTTACAACCATTCACTGGTAAGACCATCTCAGCTGTACTCAACTCAGCTCACTTGATATCTTCAATCAAGGACATCTCACTATCGACAGGTAATTTGCTCGTTAGTTTCATGTAGTCTATTTGTTTACCAAAGTTCCTGTGCCTGACACCATTGCAATCATTGAAGATTTGGTCCAACAAGGACTGAATGCTGATGTACCGGCCCTGGTTAGACTGCCTCACCAACACTTACTTCACCTGGAATGGAACATTCTACAAATAAGTTGAAGGTACCCCAATGGGTTCTCCCTCATCTCCGGTTGTAGCCAATGTTTTTTATGGAAACATTTGAGACAGATGCCATCCAGGCATCCACTCTACGTCCGTCCTTGTGGAAGAGGTACGTAGATGACACGTTTGTCATCTGGCCACATGGCCGACCAGCTCTGAACCAATTCGTCAACCACATGAATTCTATACACCCAGCCATCAAATTCACCATGGAGGTCGAAAAGGATAACAAGCTACTATTCTTGGATGTTTTCATCGAAAAGAGACCAGATGGCTCAATGGGCCACTCTGTCTACAGGAAAGCCACCCATATGGATGCCTACCTAAAAACCTGACTCTAACCACCATCCATCCCAGAAGAATTCCCTCATCAAAACTCTACACCATAGAGCTAGATGTATCTCTGACCATCACCACCTAGCAAGTGAACTGGAACACATACACCAAGCTCTCAAGAAGAATGGATATCCAGACTACACAATCCATAAAGCTATCACCCCAACCGTTGGGAAAGAACCATCTGAGGACCCAATCAAAACCATCACCTTGCCATACATAGCAGGGGTCACCAAATATATTTCCAAAATCATGAGCAAACACAAGATCCAGGTTCGATTTAACGCAGTACATAAAATTCGTGATCTGATCCCATCTGTGAAGGATGTGATCCCTGACATGCAATACCCGGCGTCTACAAACTAAGCTGTGTCTGCGGCAGTAATTACATTGGGGAAACTAAGCGACATGTCTCGGACCATGTTCGTGAACATAAGGCAGATCTGAAACACGGTAGGACCAATACCTCGGCCATGGGTGATCATTTCAACAGAGAAGATGGGTACAAAATCTGCAATCACTGGAAGGACGTTATCAACCAGTTTAACTAATAACTGGCTATAATGTTTCGATTTTAGACCTGGCAGCCATTTAATTGATGGAAGCCCACCACCGGGACCATCACTGCCCACTACTACCATCACCACTAGCAGTAGACCTTTATTGATGGAAGCCCACCACCAGGACCATCACTGCCCACTACTACCATCACCACTAGCAGTAGACCTTTACTGGTGGAAGCCCACCACCAGGACCATCACTGCCCACTACTACCACCACCACTAGCAGTACACCTTTACTGGTGGAAGCCCACCACCAGGACCATCACTGCCCACTACTACCACCACCTCTAGCAGTAGACCTTTACTGGTGGAAGCCCACCACCAGGACCATCACTGCCCACTACTACCATCACCACTAGCAGTAGACTTTTACTGGTGGAAGCCCACCACCACGACCATCACTGCCCACTACTACCATCACCACTAGCAGTAGACCTTCACTGGTGGAAGCCCACCACCAGGACCATCACTGCCCACTACTACCATCACCACTGGCAGTAGACCTTTACTGGTGCAAGCCCACCACCAGGACCATCACTGCCCACTACTACCATCACCACTGGCAGTAGACCTTTACTGGTGCAAGCCCACCACCAGGACCATCACTGCCCACTACTACCATCACCACTAGCAGTAGACCTTTACTGGTGCAAGCCCACCACCAGGACCATCACTGCCCACTACTACCATCACCACTGGCAGTAGACCTTTACTGGTGGAAGCCCACCACCAGGACCATCACTGCCCACTACTACCATCACCACTGGCAGTAGACCTTTACTGGTGGAAGCCCACCACCGGGACCATCAATGCCCACTACTACCATCACCACTAGCAGTAGACCTTTACTGGTGGAAGCCCATCACCAGGACCATCAATGCCCACTACTACCATCACCACTAGCAGTAGACCTTTACTGGTGGAAGCCCACCACCAGGACCATCACTGCCCACTACTACCATCACCACTAGCAGTAGACCTTTACTGGTGCAAGCCCACCACCGGGACCATCACTGCCCACTACTACCACCACCACTGGCAGTAGACCTTTACTGGTGGAAGCCCACCACCAGGACCATCACTACCCACTACTACCATCACCACTAGCAGTAGCCCTTTACTGGTGCAAGCCCACCACCAGTGCCGTCGTGGCCCTCTACGACTACCATCACCACTAACAGCAACCTCCACCGTCGACAGTGCGAGTGTGTAAAGCGAGGTGCCATGATTACTTGGCAGCCCTTTAATTTGTGAAAACCCACCACCAGCCCAGCCCCGTCGTGGCCCTCTACCAGTACCATCACTCACATTAACATCACTCACATTAACATCACTCACATTGACATCACTCACATTGACATCACTCACATTAACATCACTCACATTGACATCACTCACATTAACATCACTCACGTTAACATCACTCACGTTAACATCAGCTGCCCCGCCCATGCTGACGATACTTGGGCTACGCCCATTTTAAACCTTTATAAACAGTTTGCCTTTAGAGGCTAACCCCCTTTTCCTGATAACGACCGCTTGTGTTGCGATCGAAACGTCGTAGTTTTTTGTTATTTTCTTTGAACCTATCTACGTAACTTTACGGAAAGACCCAAAGAATATGGTGGTTGTTATGATGGTGGTGGTGGTGGTGGTTGAGTAGATCCTACAGGAGCTGGAGTACGGCCCCTCTGTGGACTGGTGGGCCATGGGGGTCCTTGTCTACGAGATGGTGGTGGGCCAGCCGCCCTTCGAGGCGGACAATGAGGACGACCTCTTTGACTCGATCCTCCATGACGAGGTGGCCTTCCCCATGTGGCTCAGCACCCAGGCCGTCGACATCCTCAAGGCCGTGAGACGCACGCCGTGTCTCACCACCCCCCCGTGTCTCACCACCCCCCGTGTCTCACCACCCCCCCGTGTCTCACCACCCCCCCGTGTCTCACCACCCCCCCGTGTCTCACCACCCCCCCGTGTCTCATCACCCCACGTGTCTCACCACCCCCCCGTGTCTCACCACCCTCCGTGTCTAACCCCACCCCCCGTGTCTCACCCCACCCCCCCAATGTCTAACCCCACTCCCTGTGTCTCACCCTCCCCCCCCCCCCCCGTGTCACCCCCCCCCATGTCTCAACCCTTATGTCTCACTCCCCCCTGTGTCTCACCCCACCTTATCTCACCTCACCGTGTCTCACCCCACCGTGTCTCACCGGCCCGTGTCTCACCCCCCCCCCGTGTCTCACCCCCCCGTGTCTCACCCCACCGTGTCTCACCCCCCCCGTGTCTCACCCCCCCGTGTCTCACCCCCCCATGTCTCACCCCCCCGTGTCTCACCCCCCCGTGTCTCACCCCCCCATGTCTCACCCCCCCATGTCTCACCCCCCCGTGTCTCACCCCACATGTCTCACTCCACCGCGTCTCACCCCACCGTGTCTCACCCCCCCCCCCGTGTCTCACCCCACCGTGTCTCCGCACGTCTCATCTCCCGTGTCTCACCCCCTGTGTCTCACCTCCCGTGTCTCACACTGTGTTTCCCCCCACCGTATCTCGCCCGGTGTCTCACCACCGTGTCCGCGTGCGTCTCACCCCCCGCGTCTCCACGTGTCCCAGTTCATGGTGAAGTCCCCGGCACGCCGTCTCGGCTGCGTGGCGGCGCAGGGTGGGGAGGCGGCGATCCGCGCCCACCCCTTCTACCGCGGCCTCGACTGGGATGCCCTGGAGCACCGCCGGCTCCCCGCTCCCTTCCGCCCACGCATCGTGAGCCTGGGGGAGGGGGGGCAGAGGGGGGTAGGGGGGGTTTCGTGCGCAACAGCAGCAGCATCATCAGAAGCATCATCATCCTCATCAGCATCAGGAACATCATCATCATCCTCATCAGCATCATCATCCTCATCAGCATCATCATCATCGTCATCATCAGCAGCATCATCAACAGTGGCAACATCATCAACATCAGCAGCAGCAGCATCATCAACAGCAGTGGTACCGTCATCAATATCATCATCAGCAGCAGCATTGTCTCTCCCGTGACCTTCTGCCAGCAGCGAGCCTTGCACTTCACGTGATAGCCTCAAGATGCACCTAGCCTGGCACAAGCGCAGTGGTGACGGCACCACCAACTGTTGATCACCTTACTGCGTAGCTCTAACCAAACCCCGACCCCTATCCACAACAATAACCCTACCCCTAACCCTCTCCCGAACCCTCTCCGTAACGCTATCTCTATCCCCACGCTATGGCTAACTCTACCCCCCCGCCGCCGCCCCTCCCTGCGTAGCGGGGTAAGCGTGACGTGACCAACTTTGACGGGGACTTCACGCGCGAGGACCCGGCGCTGACTCCCACCGACCCGGCCGCCCTGCTGCAGCTCCACCCGGACGAGTTCCGGGGATTCTCCTTCGTGGCCGATGGGCCGGGGCCGGGCCTGGGGGGCGGGGGCGGCGCCCCCCCGTCCCCGCCGCCGTCGCCGCGACAACCGCGGCAGCCGACGCCCCCGCCGCGGTCCCCCACGGCGAGGGGTGGGGGGGCCCCGCGGCCCCCCCCCTGCCCCCGCCCGCCCCCGACCACGCTCGCCATAGACCCGGTGCCGCGGGCCTGCGGCCCCGCCAGGTCGGCCGAATATTACGCCGAGTGTCGCCTGGGCTTCGGCCTCGGGGACGAGGAGGAGGAGGACGAGGTGTAGGGGATGATGAGGAGGAGTGGATGAGGTGTAGAGGATGATGAGGAGGAGTGGATGAGGTGTAGAGGATGATGAGGAGGAGTGGATGAGGTGTAGGGGATGATGAGGAGGAGTGGATGAGGTGTAGGGGATGATGAGGAGGAGTGGATGAGGTGTAGAGGATGATGAGGAGGAGTGGATGAGGTGTAGGGGATGATGAGGAGGAGTGGATGAGGTGTAGGAGATTATGAGGAGTGGATGAGGTGTAGGAGATGATGAGGAGGAGTGGATGAGGTGTAGGGGATGATGAGGAGTGGATGAGGTGTAGGGGACGAGGAGGAGTGGATGAGGTGTAGGAGATGATGAGGAGGAGTGAATGAGGTGTAAGGGATGATGATGAGGAGTGGATGAGGTGTAGGGGATGATGAGGAGGAGTGGATGAGGTGTAGGAGATGATGAGGAGTGGATGAGGTCTAAATGATGGCGAGGAGGTGTAGGGGGTGAGGAGGACGACGAGGTGTGGGTGACGAGAGGATGAGTGGATGAGGTGTAGGGGATGGCGAGGAGGAGGTGTGGGTGGACGATGAGGAGGATGATGAAGTGTAGGGGATGAGGTGTACGGGAGGAGGAGGTGAATGAGTTGGACGTGAGATGAAGGTGGTGTTGAGATCAGTGTAGGAGGAGGTGAGAGTGGAGGAGGTGGAGCAGGTGGTGGAGGTGTGGAGATGAAGTCTACCGGTGAGATGAAGGTGGTGTTGAGATCAGTGTAGGAGGAGGTGAGAGTGGAGGAGGTGGAGCAGGTGGAGGAAGTGTGGAGATGAAGTCTACCGGTGAGATGAAGGTGGTGTTGAGATCAGTGTAGGAGGAGGTGAGCGTGGAGGAGGTGGAGCAGGTGGAGGAGGTGTGGAGATGAGGTCTACCAGTGAGATGAAGGTGGTGTTGATATCAGTGTAGGAGGAGGTGAGAGTGGAGGAGGTGGAGCAGGTGGTGGAGGTGTGGAGATGAAGTCTACCGGTGAGATGAAGGTGGTGTTGAGATCAGTGTAGGAGGAGGTGAGAGTGGAGGAGGTGGAGCAGGTGGAGGAAGTGTGGAGATGAAGTCTACCGGTGAGATGAAGGTGGTGTTGAGATCAGTGTAGGAGGAGGTGAGAGTGGAGGAGGTGGAGCAGGTGGAGGAGGTGTGGAGATGAGGTCTACCAGTGAGATGAAGACTCGTGCAATATTTGCACCGAGTCGCAGTTCAATCGTCGCTGCTGTTCTCGTTTCAGTGTGCGCACCAGCGTCACCATCACCATTGTCACCATCGTCACCATCACCAGCGTCACCATCACCATTGTCACCAGCGTCACCATCACCATTGTCACCAGCGTCACCATCACCATTGTCACCATCGTCACCATCACCAGCGTCACCATCACCATTGTCACCAGCGTCACCATCACCATTGTCACCATCGTCACCATCACCATTGTCACCAGCGTCACCATCACCATTGTCACCATCGTCACCATCACCAGCGTCACCATCACCATCGTCACCATTGTCACCATCGTCATCATCACCATCGCCACTATTACCACCATCATCACCACCACGATCACCACCATCATCACCATCATCTTCACTATCACTGCCATCATTGCCACCATTGCTATCATTAACATCGTCCCATCATCATCGCCATCATCATCGTCACCACCACCACCACCACCGTCACCGCTCCCGTCCTGGTGGCCGCGATGGCCGTGTCGTCGTCGTCGTTGTCCGCGTGCGTCCCCACCAGCCGGGTGGCCGTGGTCCCGTGCCGTCGTTCACGACCCGAGCCATCGGCGAGCCTCTCCCCTCCCAGCCACGAGGTGGGGCCGTCCACAGGGGGCAAGACGGTTTACAAAGCCGGGCAGGGCCTCCCGGGCAGGGCCTCCCAGGCAGGGCCTCCCGGGGGAGCCGACCGCGGTCGCCCATCGCGGCCGTGGGTCATCGAGGTCGCGGCTGAACGGAACGAGAGGGGAGAGGGAAGGGAGGGGAGCGAGAGGAGATGGGGGGGGGGGGGGAGCGACGTCGCAACCACTGAAGCGGCCCCCGTGAACGCGCGACGTTGGCCCAACGTTGGCCCAACATTGGTGCCGGCGTTGCGCATTTTACCAGGGGAGATGGACGGTATGCAGGAGAAGGAATGCGCCTGCGTGTGTGCGCGTGTCTTTGTACTGTGTGTGTAGTGTGTTGAACTTCTTACGCACCGTGCATAGCCAAACCATGCGAATAATCGGGACAACGAGCTGAACACAAGACACCAAGCCGTTCTAAAGGGAATGTACGTGAATGAGACAGCCAGAACAAGGCGAAGCTGAACCAGTAGAGATCGAGAGATAGAGGCGAGACAGGAGACAGAGAGACAAAGAGGGTCTCTGCTGATTGGACTCGTGGGATAGTCTCTCCTAGCGCGTCCCTGTGACCCCACGACCCCGTGACCCCACGACCCTATGACCCCGCAAACCCATGACCCCGCGTCTCTGTGACCCCACGTCTCCATGACCTTGTGACCCTGTGACCCCGCGTCCCCATGACCCCGTGTCCCCATGATCCCATGACACTGTAACCCCGTGTCCCCGTAACCATGTGCTTCCGACCATAGATTATTCACGCGCATCGTGGAGCGAGAGCGAGTCGCGCTTGGGCGGAGGTGGCGCTGCGAGGAGGAGGAGGCAGAGCAGCGCTAGGAGGCGAGGCTACACGGCATCCTGCTTTTGTGTCGTGAACACGCAGGGGCCGTCTAAACATCGTATCATTCCGTTTAGGAGTAGCGGTTGTGGGTAGCGGTTTCTATCGACGCCCAGCTGTCCGCAGTGGGGAAGCCTCCGTTCCATGTTGAGGTTCTGTGTGGTGTGTGGCCGCTACTCACCAGCCGTGGACTCCGCAGAGCGGGCGAGCAGCTTTCCCTGCTTGGCCCGCTCCAAGGAACCGGGCCGCAGGCTCCAGTTCCTGCCGGCGCGTTGCGCCACCGCCGACTCGGAAACGAGTGCGGCTGTCCGCTATGGTGGCTATGAGATGTTAACTACCTCGCCTGGTATACAGGAGGTCATGGGTTTGATCCCGACCCTGATGCCTGCTGTATATTTGGGGTTTACGTGTCTCTCTCTCTCTCCCCGTGGTCGCGTGGATTTTTCTCCGGGTTCTCCGGTTTTTCCCTCCACAGAATCAAAATCACGCGTTTAGAGTCTTTGGCTGCTGCTATAAATGTCCACACGATGATGATGATGAGCCACTTCGTTGGGCAATCATTTGTGATAGCCAGGTGGTCGTGCTTCTGAAAAAGAGCTAAATAATGCTCAGTGGGCTTTGCCTGGTAAAATACAAAAAAAATGGTCGAATAGTTTTAATAGTTTAGTAAACAGAGCTGACTTGAGCGTGGCACTACGAATGCCATGCGGGGTCAGAATACAAAATGCTTCCCTCCAGTGATCGATCAGCGCGTCCAAGGATGCTTGCCATGACCGATAATGTGTCGTGTGTGGGGCTGTATGTGTGGGTGGCGGTGATTCCATGTATGTGTGTGTAGCCGTGTGTGTGATGTAGAGTGTGTAAGTGGTGCAGGCTATGCGTGTATGCGGGCCATGTTGGTGTGATTGGGCGATGTGTATGTAGAGAGATCAGTGTGTGCATGGGGGTAGTAACCCCTGCACCTGGCACTTTTTTCTACCAAACACGATTGTGGAAACACCGACATGAGCCCGTGCAAGAGACCAGGGGGACAGGCGGCCATGACGCCTTCGGGCCAAACTCCATCTGGTAGATCCAGAAACAGGAAAACACTGAGGTTGGACACATGGAACGTTCGGACTCTCGTTGCGGAGGAGAGGCTGCCACCCCTCGGTCAGAAGATGGACCGGTACCGTCTGGACCTTTGTGGAATACAGGAGGTCCGGTGGACCGGTTCTGGTACCAGTCATCATAAGCAGTGGACAGTTCTGCACTCGGGGCAGGAAACTACCAAAAAGCAACAAGAGAAGAGGAATGGTGGTGGTGATTACTTCCGCCCCCACCAAAGATGAACATTGGTGGAGGGATGCAGACAAGGCCGATGAGTCGGGTGCCTTCTATAACCTGTCCCAGGCACTAGTTCAAGGTGACTTTAATGCCTGAGTGGGTCATGATATGCGACACCTGAAGTGGAGTGATGGGCCAGATCAGCTTAATAAAACAGGAGGCTACTAGACTTATGTGCAGCCCATGGGCTTGTTATTATGAACACGCTGTTCCGGCATCAGCGCATCCACACAACATCATGGATGCATGCAAGGTCCAAGCAAGACAATCTGCTGGACAATATAATGATGGACTAGTGGATGCGGGCCCATGTCCTTGACACCAGAATCTACCGTAGAGCTGATTTCCCCACTGACCATCGACTTGTTATCTGTAAGATGCGCCTGCCATTCTTCCACTCCGGTGGTGGGTGTCCACCCCATTGCAACCCACAGTGGTCTGGTGTCAGCTATCTGAGGATAGTTTCAAGTAGGAATTTCAACCACTTGCAGCTGGGGTTAGCATCATGCCCCCCTCCTTGTGATGCTGAGGGGAAATGGGTGACGTTCAGGACTGTGGCTCATGCAACTGCAATGGCTGCATTGGGTATGCAGTCCAGACCTCCCCAGAGACTCTGGCTGAAGGAGGAGGTGTTCCGGCTGGTTGAGAGAAAACGACAGGCCCACTCCCGTCGTCTACAAAATCCAACATTGGAGAATGAGGAGGCTTGCCACAGCCTTCGCTTGGAGATTCGTTTTGCGGTGCGGCACTGTAAGGATGAGTGGTGGGGGTGGGTTGCTGAGGAGATGGAATCTTCCTCAGTAGCCCGCAATTACAGATCACTATTTAATTCCATAAAAAGTAAGTTTCAGCACCTGGCCTATCACCATCCTTAAAGAAAAGAACGGTAACCTGATCTCCGACCCCCAGGAACAGGTCTGTAAAGCATTTTTGTGAGGTCTTGGGGGAGGGGATTTCCCTCAGCCCAGACATGGGGAAAGGTAGGGACGGACCCGGCTAGGCAGCGGTGCCTCAACATTGTCCTGGCAAGGATTATTCAACATC